AATATAATATACTAATAGAATACATCTATAAGTTATTCTAGTATTTAAATCTTCCTATATGGTAAAAAGTTAATTTATTTAATAAATTTATTTCCTATAATAAAGATACTATTATATTTTACTTGAATTATAGAATCTTTAGATTTTAGTAACTTTATAATAAAGTCTATTATAATTAAATCCTATAGTTATTCGATAATAGATAATAATTATAATAGTCTATAGGATTTATATTACCTTAGTTTATTTCATTTATAAAGGTTATATTTATTAATAACCTCTTTAACTTGTTCTTTAGCATATAGAAATTATAATATTATTTAATTTTAATAGTTATTTCTATAATTCCTATATACCTTTCAAGTTTTAACTATTATATTGGTATATCAAGTGTAACCTCCTAGCCAACTGGCATATTATAACTACTGAGAACAGCTAGACTATTAATACTATAGGCCTAGATTAGATCAAGTACTTGAATTTCTATATAGTACCCTATATAAAGGGAAAATACCGGTTGTTGATCCTTAATAGCTATAAGAGCTACTACTCAACTGAGTTTAAGCTCTATTACCAGTAGAACAATATTATTATACTCTATATACCTCTATATTCCTCCTACCTCCTCTAGCTACTTAATATTAGCTATTTTCGGCTATTAAAGCAGGTATATAGCTACTAGATCAACGACTTAATATATTGTCACGGACTGGGCCGCGGAAGGCGGCCCGTGGCACGTGTAGGTGGGGCGCGGGACGCACCACCAGCCAATCATTCACGCAACCAATCAAGAGAGGCTCGACTAGATCTCTTTGAGATCTATGAGAGCCAACACCAGGATCAATAAAGAAAGACTGAGAGCCAACAGGCTCGACGGGATCTCGTCGAGATCCATGAGATCCAGGTACGGAGGAATAAAGAAGTTGTAGAGTATATAGATAGCTAGCTAGTCACTCGTTGAGGGAGTCTGGGACTTCCTCAGTAAGCAATACAACTTGTTCGCTGCCAATTGCTACGAACATTGAGACCGGATCATTATCTCGTTGTGAACCTTTTGGCTTCACCGAATCACAACCCTAGTTACCTTACCTTCAGTGAACCCTTGCAGAGTGTGGTTGAGACGATTCGTCACATATATATATATATCAACTATGTAAGTAAGCTTAAGTTCTTCTACACCTTTTATATAGCCTTCTTCGCCTCTAATACCAAAAGTAATATCTAGGGTGGCTTTACAGGTATAGGCCTTGTTCTATACGATCTAGAGAGGGTACTTTCTAAGCTAGATATCAAGCTTTCTATACTAATACTACCAAGCTTACAGCCTAATACTCTATAACCTTAGGTCTTCCAGATACCCTATAACCCTTAAGAAGCTGATTCATAGTTAATACTTATCAAGACTTATATTGCTAACTATTAAAACAGCTCCCTAACCTCGATATTAGCTACTATAGACCAGCTTACCAAAGGTACAATAGCTATAATATATAAGGTAGCTCTCCTACACTCTAAGGTCTCTTCGCTCTATAAGGCCAACGAGGTACTCAGTAAGCGCCGGAGAGCCAAAAGAATACATATATAGCATAGAGGATCACTTATAGTATAAGATATAATAGATCTACCAGACCAGAAGGCCGTTATTAGGGAGGTGGCACAAGAAAAGGAGCTGGATAGTGGTAGTATAGGGGGAGGGGGTCGTACAAAGGTTCGGTGCTGTGGTATATGTGGCAAGCCTGGCTATAACGCCCGTACGTATCAGGAGGTTGCAGAAGGGTCTGATTCAGCTATTTCTGATGTAATTGTAGTTGGTTAATCGTGTTGTTATAGTACAATGGAGGATAGTGTTCAGAAGGTAGGGGAAACTGATCCACTCGCTTATATGATCCACTCGCTTATATGATCCACTCGCTTATAATATACATTAGAGATAGAGTAAACTAGGATAATATAAACCTTATAGGCTATTATAGCTATTACCTATTATTAAACGACTATAGGGTTTAATAATAATAGACTTTATTACTAAATTACTAGAATCTAAAGATCCTATAACCTAAGTAAAATATAATAGTATTCTTACTATAGTAGATAGGCTTATTAAATAGACCTATTTCCTACCCTATAAAGAGATTTAGATAGTAGAATAACTTATAGATATACTCTATTAGTATATTATATTAATCTATATCTAGCTAAAAGAATAGATTATAGACTAGGATACTAAGTTTATACCGAAGTTCTAGTAAATACTGATAATAAGACTTAGGATGAAAAGTAAATTATCAATAATATATTATATATAAATAGATAACTAGATAGAATAACTTAACTAGATTGTTTAAAAATACTTTAGACTTTATATTAACTTTTAATAAGATAACTAGGTTAAGCTATTACCTATTATATAACTAGCTTATAATACTATAGAAACTAAGATAATAAAAGTTATACTATACTTATAAACTTTAAATATAAATCTAATCTAAGATAAAAATCTAATATCGAAGTACTTTAGGCTACTATTAAGGTAGATAAAATAAACTTATTATATATAATACTTAAAGAAGAACTTAAGTTTATAAGGAAAAGAATAAAGAATTCTATAACTAAAAAAGGCTTAAGGGACCTTATTTAAAAAGGGAGGATAAGGTCTACTTTAGTTTATAAAATCTTAAAACTAAACGACTTAATAAGAGACTCGATTTTAGGAAAATCAGGCTATTTAAAATTGATAAAAAGATTTCGAAAAATAACTATACCCTTATATTTAAATTAACTATAAAGCTAAAGATAAACGTTTTGTATATAACGTTATTAGAACTAATATTAAAGTACTTATAATTTAATAAAGATATTAAAGTAAAAGATAAAGAAGAAGAGTAGGATATAGAAGAGGTATTCGATTTAAGAATTATAAAAGGGTAATTAAAGTACTTGGTTAAATAGCTGGACTTTAGATCTAAAGATAACTTATAGTAACTAGTAGAAAACTTGGTTAATTGCCCTAAGAACCTATAGGATTTTTACTATTAATACCCTGATTATCTTATATAGCTAGAAAGGACTAATCGAAGCTATTACTAAAAGGTATAGAAGAAGAACTAAGAAGTAATAATTAGTGAAAAAAAAAATAACCAGGTTATAATAGGAGTTAAACCTATAATCTAATATAGTAGGGTTCCTATAGACTATTATAAGTCTATAAAAAACCTATATAATATATATATATATATATATATATTACTAACTATACTATATAACCATTTTATTTATTAAAAAATAGAAAGGAGGATATTTATTTAAGAAGAAGGGACTTAGTTATAAGCCTCTACCTTAAGGAGCTACTATAGCTAGATCAGCCTTTAATAAGTCTAACCCTATTAAAGACTAGTTAAAAGGAGTATCTATATCTAATAACCTAATATCGTTAACTATAAAATCCTTAGATATCTATATTCTTTTATCCTCCTCCTTTATTTTATCTAATAATTATATTCCCTAAATAGAACAGCTTAGAACCTTGCTCCTTTAAGATATACTTTTAATAATAAAGATAGGCTAGGTATTTAATACCTATTTATAGCTATATCTAGAATATAAATAAAGCTTCTTCGATATTAGCTTTCTCCTATTCTACCTACTCTTATTCAGATAAGATCTCTATTACTAAGAGCTATAAGTTAGTAAAACCTAAGAAGAAGGATAAAGGTATATATAGGTAATAATAATATTAAAGCTATTATAGGAGTAACTATACAAAATATTTACTATAGTAGGAAGAACCTTATAATATATAATATATAAGGTTATATTTAAAATACTAAGAACAGGGTATAGTTTTAATACTAGAGGAGTTAATAAATAAGGCAAGTATATTATATTCCTAGGATTTTTTAGACTAGTATTTATAGATATAATCTATTATTTTATTAAACTTATTATAAAGGTAATAGGGAAAGGGGAGAATTAATAGTACTTATAAATATAGGTCGTCGATAGTATTTAAAGTATATTAAAGCTCTTAGATTAAAAAGCCTTAAAGGAGGGGTATTATATTACAAGTTAGCCTAAGAAATAGTTAAAGAGACCTATAAGTCAGGATATAGGATAAACTAACAACTAATTATTTAATAACCAATTAGAATAGGATCACCGTTAATACTAGACCAGGTATTATGATCTAGCCTTATAGATCACCAGGATTACAACTGTGATCTATATAAGCCTACACCAAGGGTTACTAGAGGATATGGTAATCCAGCTAGTATATAGTCACTCGTTCTAGAGGACTCTGGGAGTTCTCCAGTAAGCAATATAACTTGTTTATTGCCACTTATACTACGCTGTAAACATTGAGACCAGATCATTATCTTGTTGTGAACCTTTTGGCTTCACCGGATCCCAACCCTTACGTCATACCTTCAGTAAACCCTTTCAGAGTGTGGTTGAGACTCGATCCATTATAAGCAACTATACTCCCTCTCCTCTACACCAGAGTATATAGAGCATCCTATATATAGCCTATACCCTATAGTCCCTATGATGATTGGTCCCCGTGTCTCTATAGTGTTGGCGTTCTGTGACATTCTGCCTGGGCTGTCCTGTGCTGGCTAGGGCTATATATGGCGCTATTGGTTTAACCTGTAATATCTAGCTTTAATAGTTATAAGAAGACATAAATTATATTATATATTAGAGAAACTTCTAAAGTCTTTTAAATTATAAATTATTAACCTACCCATTAATGGAAGTATTTGACTACCTTTATAATATATTTCATAGCTTTATTTTGTAACTATTCTTTAATATATCCATAGATTAACTCTCTTTTAGCATGACAGAATGTCTCTCAACGATACTCCAAAAGGGTCCACTAAAGGTATGATACAAGGCTTATCATCTAGCAAAGGTACACATTTTGGCTTTCCTGAATCACATTTCTAATACCTTACATACCTATCTTGCATTATTTCTCTGAATAGACACATGTATGAATATTAAAGCTTGCTCTGATAGGCTGGGACGAGGAGTCGCTCGAGGCCCTGCCGCATTTTCGCGTCCATGCCCTTGGGGTTTGGCCTCGCGGTGTCTCGGTCAACAAAGACCTGGATAAACTCGCCAACGGACTTGACAGGCACATGCCCCTTTTCAAACAATGCGATCTCGTACGTTACACTAGAGTTCCCGATGCGATTGACGCGCAGGGCAAGCTCAGCGCAAGCCGGAAATGAAATGGACGCGAAATAGTCGTTGTGTGAGTGGACTACCATCCCGTATTGTGAGGAGGACGATGGGGAAAGGCCGCAGTGCTCGATCAAGTACGTGTTAATGACGGAGTCGTAAAGAAAGTTGTAGATGGAATTGTTCATGTGATGATACATATCATTGTCGGTCCTAGTGTGTGGTCAGCAGCGAGTTAAACCAAGTCCGATGACCCTGGTAGGAACGGAGTAGGCGGTGGCTGACCATCGTGTTCGGTATTGGAGGAGGTATGGGTAATCAGCCCTGGTTCGGCGCTTGAGCTGGTCAATGTTGGAAGTCATGCTAAGAAACATCGGCGCCGAAGCCGGGATGAGATTCGGGGGTTGAGCGAGGAAGAGGTGACATGAGAGTTTGCAGTGGTGGCTCCTGTTGTTTAATATCCGCCCACTCGCGGGAGAGCGTTGCGAGCCGAGAAGGAAAGGGTTCCCGGCTTCCGTCGGCGAAGATCAGACAAAGTTCACAGGGGACGGCCCGTGATTGGTGGATTTGGCCCTGCAATTTTGCCCTTTGCGACCGCCCTTTTTTCACTGGGAGGCAGGTGGGGTGGGCGGTTTCTTAACTTTGGGACACTCTGACAATCAACCATGCGGCCGTAGAACGCGACGGAAAATAATTCGACGGACCACGGTATCTTCGAAAGTGGCGCTATCAAGGGCAGCGACATTTGCCATAGCTGGGCCACTCCGCGGGATGTCGGTTCCCGTGAGCCACCCCGTCGCGTCAAGGGTCGAGAACGGCAGCAGCACTATCCCCAGCACTATCCCCAGCGCACGAACGAGCGGGATGCAGTCAAACAAGTCACAGCACGAATCCAACTCCACGGTCCTCCCGCTCCCCGCACCCTCCTACGTCTGGCCACACCCCTACTACTACGAAGACGGATTGCGGCGCGTCTCCCCTTACTTCTACACCTACAATACGTGGTGTAAGGAACGATGGCGTGGCCGAGAGATGCTAGATGTGTTCCAAAGCGAGTTCCGTGACCGACCACTCGAATATTACCGCGAGGCCATGCAGTCTGGCAAGGTCGCTGTCAACGGCAAAACCGTTGGGCCACACCACGTCCTCAAAAATGGGGAACTTATCTCGCACACTCAACACCGGCACGAACCCCCCGTCACCGCCGAGCCGGTTGGCGTTATCCACGAAGACGAAGACATGGTGGTGATCAATAAACCATCCGGGGTACCCGTCCACCCGGCCGGCCGCTATCACTACAACTCGGTGGTGGAGATCATGAAGGCCGAAAGGGGTCCCACCTTCGCACCGCGGCCCTGCAACCGGCTTGATAGGCTTACCAGCGGCATCATGTTCATTGCAAAGAACGCGAAAGCTGCCGAGCAGCTCGGTGCGCAGATTTTACAAAGGAACGTCCGCAAGGAATACGTCGCTCGCGTTATCGGCAGGTTCCCCGACGGAGAGGTTGTGTGCAACCAACCCATTCTTCAGATATCCCCCAAACTCGGACTGAACAGAGTGCGCGCAAACGGCAAGGCCGCCAGGACCGTCTTCAAGCGCCTTGCCTATTATGCACCGCAGCCGATTCCCGGCGCGGAGCCCGCGACTGGAACAGCTGAGTCGACCGTCCGGCAGGGAGGTGCCGGTAACATGGCAAACGAGGGGTATTCCATCGTGCGTTGCCTGCCCGTGACAGGGAGGACGCACCAGCTGCGAGTGCACCTGCAGTTCCTAGGACACCCGATCCAAAACGACCCGATTTATGCCAATCAAAAGGTCTGGGGGTTTGACCTGGGGCACAACGATGCCGACGGGACGCTGAACAGCGATGAGGACATCGTGTCTCGCCTGTCGCGCATGGGCAAGGACCAGGTGGCGGATGCAGTAGCATACTACGACGAGGTCGTGGATGAATACCACAAGCAAAAAGCCGAGAAAATGTCGGGTGATGTCTGCGACGTCTGCGATACACCGTTGTATACCGATCCTGGGGAGCAGGAGCTCTCCCTGTGGCTGCACAGCCTCCGCTATGAGGACTCTGAGGGGGCCTGGAGCTATGTCAGCCCTTTGCCTGCCTGGGCACTGCCGCCCGAAGGGTCTTGCGGTCCAACACAAGTGGGTGGAATTGAGGATTTAGTCGACGCGGCCGGTCCCGAAATCACCGATTGAGACTCCGATTTAGCGTAGAATCAAGGACGAAACTCGGAATGGCAACGAGCTATCCCTCCCCTCCCAGTTCCGACTGGGTTGTACGCGCCCCGACTATTGCAAGGTCACTGGGCAGGTACACTCGGTACTAACCGTCCCTGACTGTCGAGAGTTGCGCACATACATCCATCTCCCAACTCGCAAGTTGAAGACCTGCTTTTCGGGCGGTCTTAGTAGAGAGCGATAACACAAATCCGCAAGAATGCTACGCTTTGTAAGCCGGCGCCTTCCTTTTTGGTGGCCTATCGATGGGCCTAGCGGAAACGGAGTATTGAACGTGGCGCGGATGGATATCGTGGAAAAGTCTACCCGCCTTGGTAGCACATCTCCCGAGGAAACTCCTATTGTCGACGTCCAAACCGACCGGGCTAATTAGAGGGACGCGAGGAGGAACGCCGAGAAAAGCCTAGGGACATCTGAGGGCGGATGTATTCTGTAAGGTTATTGCAGGTCCCGTTACGGTGCCGCGGAGAATTACATGTTGATCAAGTGCGAGGCAGGAACATTGGCCGTGGTGATGCGATGCCACATTTCGCTTTGCTTTTTCCCCGGGGAAAACTTCGCGGGCCGTGGCAGCCAGCAGTATTACGGTCCAGGACTCTCCAGTACCTTCTGCGCACTCGTCCTAGCATAGCTGCTTTCGTCTCCCGTGTCTCTCTCCGTACACTGTCCTCATGGACACACAATCGCCCACGCTCGGACGGTTTTACCGTGCGAGACTCAACCGATTCCAATACCGCAATTCGGGCTAGGATGAGCGGAGTGAAGTGACGTGTGATGCAGAAAGAGGAGTTCCGCGAGAGGCAAGGCGTTGAGCCCCCCGTTTCTTCCAACCCTCGACGGGCCACCCTAGTGAATCATTTGCCTTCTCACGCTCGTGCAAAGCCAGTGGCCATTAAGGATAAGAGCGCGTGGCAACAATTCCATCAGCTTACACCTCATCAACATCAGAAATCACAAGTCCTAGCGGACGTGGAGGACCATGCTAAGGGGGGCCTAGATCGCCCCTTTCCCTCCGACGGGGGCCAAGCTCGATCGGCTTTCTTTGGACAAGCAGAAGAAGAAGAAAGAAGAAGAAGTCGATTCGGAGGCGATACTTCGGTGAGTTGATGTTTCATGGTTACCACTGCCGCCCTTGTTGTGCGGTGGAGGGGCGCCCCTTCCTCCCCTCTTTTCCCGATGTGGGGATGTGAACAAGACGCCGTTGAACGCTGGGCCCTTGGCGGAGGTAGATGCAAGGAAGAGGGGAGGGGGGAGAAGAGGGATCTTGCATGATCATCGAACGTTGGGGCTAGTGAACGCACAGAATTGTCAAGATGGTTAGTGGAGGTAGCAGCCGCCTACGGCCGATGAGTGGTTGGTTTGTTGGATGCACAGCCAGGCAAGGGGGTCACTAAGAGGGATCCCGCGATCACGGCTATCGCACGATGGCACGTACATAGTATGAGGGGAAACGGCAAGATTGATCTACGTCCAGGTTTCTGACCCCTCAGCCCCTCTAGTGTACAGCTGGGGCCCGGCGCCACACAGCCATTGTATGTTGGGTGAAGCCACCGGGGTTGTGTGGAATTGGCATGTCGTCACCTCGCCCGACTGTGGACTGGGATCGCAAAGGCCACGATCGGGGGGTGTGGAATGATGAGTGGGGAAGGAGGCCGTTCCAGAAGGAGGAAAATGGTGGGGGGAGGAGGGGGTCGGGCGGTTGTTGGCTTTACATTGTTCGATGAGTCGGTTTCGGAGGGCCAGAGAAAAGTTGTGGTGGGAGAGGGGTACATAGTTGCGTATGGGGGAGGGGAAAAATAAAGGGAAAAGTAAGGGGAAAAGCGCCGTGGAAGGTGAGCTTTTGATAGTGCGCCGGACGAAAACGCCGCATTTCTGCATCACCCACTACAATGATGAGCTGTTTTGACGGAGAATTGATTAGTGAATTACCGTCGACAGCTCCGGGGTGAAAAGCTTTACGCCCAATAACGCCCCAGCACGACCACGGCCCCCCCGGCAATGTTTCGGGGACCGGGATGGACCCTGAGCGGGAGTGGATGGGGCAAAACTGGGACGCCGGAGGAAGACTGGAGACTCGGGGATGGAGACGGGGATGGAGACATTGTGAGATACAACGGGAGAAAGAAAGACTGGCGTGCCGGGCCTTGCGGGCGTGCTGGCTCGACTGGCCATAGCCCTGCTTCTTCCTCAAGATCCAACACCAAGCTCCACCGTCGCGGCCAATCCCTACCCTACACTCCCCGGAATGCCGAGGATTTGATGAGGGTTTATCGGGCAAGAGATGGGTTGCGGTGACCGACGGTGACGCGCAGGGCTCTTTTGGACTGTGCAGCCCGCAGGGTTGGCCCGAGTTTTGAGCTGCTACTTCCGTCTGTCATCCTTCTTGCCTTCTTACCTCGTCACCGTTACCCACCACTCACTCTCACCAGAAACACATATATCCCCTCCCCAGTCGGTCATCCTCCAACGGAACCCAACTACCCTTGACAACATGCGTGGTGCTACGCCGGCTCCTTGACTGTCAAACACTCGCATGCAATTAGCCCAGGCTCATCAGACGCATAATTATACCTCGAACGTCTAGTAATCACATATTACCACAACACTTATTACCCTCCTTGAACTACCCGGCTGCCTCATAGCACGTCGCACAAACGCACCCACAGAAACAAAAAACAAGCACACACACGCCGCTACTATCCTTGGTGTGCTCTACGATCAGCGCTGGACCTATCGTCGCCGTCGTCGTCGTCGTCATCATCATCATCATCACCGTTCTCATCACCGCCCTCGTATTCACACATCTCACGAGAAAATGTCACCACATCCCACCCACAAACAAGACTCGCCCAAGTCGTGTAAGGGAAAAGCAAAAGGTGAGTTGCTTTGGCCCAAGCATACTAACGCAAGATGCGTGGGGCTTCATCTGTAAGATTCCACTGTTTGTTGACGATGCGGTCTCGGATGAACAGGTGCCCGTCGCGTTAGCAACCTCTCCGAGGAGCAGCGGAACAAGAAACGCGAGAACGACCGGATAGCGCAGCAAAATATTCGGCGGCGCAACAAGGAGTTGATCGAGAAACTACAGCAAGAGGTTGAGATTTTGCGCACACGCGACCGGGTTGATGTGGTTTGCCGGCTCATGACGCGCAACGAGGAGCTTGAGAAAGAGGTCCGCATGCTGCGGAAACATCTCTTTATCCATGCCGGCCGCCCATACCACCCCGGTTCAGGTATGTTTGTTTCCCTCCATCTTCCTACCCACCTCTTGTGAGCATCTATCTGATCATTCCCAACTCCACTCCCGTCTGTACAGGCTTCGAGGTAGACACACTCTCACCAAACGGCCCTCAGAGCGGTAGCAGCGGCAACGGGGACAACTCCAACGAATACAGCCTCTCATCACAACACCAGACTACCCCCTTCGGCTCATCGCCCTACATCGCGACAGCTGCCGCAACCTCAACCCACCCGTACGACCAGTGGCCTAGCAGCGTGGTACCCGTCTCTTCCACAGGCGTCACCGTTAACTCGGTTGAATCCAGCCCTGGTGCGTCTGGCACGGGCGACGATTTTGCCACGCCGGCAACGACAACGGCAGCAGCGTATGCGCACACGACAGCGGACGGCATTCCTGTGTCACAGTCAGGGAATACGTCCGCTCCGAGTTTGGGGTCATCTAAGGATGCCGAGTATGAGGATCTTGATGCTGGTGTGTATTACTTATCATCGCGAGCCCCCCTTTCCCCCCTTTTCTCATGATTGACGGAACATGATGCAGGTTCGGTAAACGATAGCTACACCACGCACAGTGTACCGCAAAGCTCGACATACATACATGAACCCCCTTGGTCGGTGTACCCCACGGGTGCATACTATTCGCAGGCCGCGGCAATCTGAGCTCTCGTCTGGCCCGTTTCACCCCAATCGAATACGGCCAACTCTCGAGTGGTAGGCGTTTTGGACTCTCTTCTTATTTTGGATGAAGGGAAGGATATGATGGACGGTTTTGACCATGGCGTCTGGGGTGTGTTTGGTTTCACTTTGTGCAATAGATAGATCGGTGTACAGGCTGGTTTGCATCTAGACATTTAGAGGGAACGGAAGGGAAGGACACTGGGGACCAGTAATCACGAGGTATGATTACGCCGGGTATGCATTGAATGGCGAACGTCTTACTTCATGCTGGTATCATGAAGGGGTAAATAAAGTTAGTTTAATTTGTCCTTATTGACTACTGACGATTTTCGTCACAAAACTTTCCCATACATGTCACAAGGAGGGAGCGGGGGGTACAATGAGGCAGCATCGCCAACGGACATTGCGGAACCTGGGCCAGTCACGGGCCACCGGGGATCTCTCCGGACGAGCGGCATCTAAGGGGATCTGTGTAATATCACCCTGGCCTTAGCCTGGAGAACCGCCACTACCAAAGGACCGGATAGCTCGGCTTCCTGTGTGGCCTCTTGCGAAAACGTCATTGAGACTAGAAGGAGTTGGGAGACTGTAGAGGGGCGTCGATGAGACCGAATGAGCGAGCCTGGAGAACCCGACGCCCCGGCCTACTCGGGATTCGGTGCTCTGCTATCACTCAGTGGAAACCCGAAGACCACGAAACCCTCTTGGCCGCGTAAACCCCATGGGTTGCCCTGAACTCAACGCACCTCTGGCATCCTCTATCTCGATCGAGCCTAACTGGTAACACCTGGGCATCGACTCAAGCTTTCGGCTAGCTTAGTGATGTAACCTTCTCCTTGTCTCTCTCTGGCAAGTTGGCTAATTTTTGAGGTCATTGGGTGGCTGCGTTAGCGGGAGTTGCGTAACGTTGGGCGAACTGCCGGACAGATGCTCCAATGAGCGAGCCGAGAACATCTTCAAACGAAACGGCGTCAATGCGGTTTCTCAGCGTCATGTCATGTGCGAAACTAGACATGAGACGACCCCACCAAGACGCTTGCCACCTGGTGACAGTGGCTCAGGTGGCTCGTGCCAGACAGCCACACAGCCAAGGGCGACTTGGGGTCGGTGGCAGTGACAGGTGAGCAGGAGAGTAGCTGGGGCGTGTTCGAGGCCTGTTCCCTTCAATATGGCAACTAGAAGACGGATATTTCCGAGCAAAATCTGTCGATCGACGTTTTGTCGCTGCGATCATGGAGGGGAAGGGGGACGCTGTGAATGAGGTGATCAGGTCCGTGGGGTACATGCTAACGTAATAAATTCCCTGACCGGCAGTTTGTTTACCCTCCAAGTTCCCGTATCTCCCAATCGTGCGAGCTTGAACAAGAAAAAAATCCCGCCGCAAGATTTTCTTTGCCCTGAGCTTTCAATTTTCCAACGTGACAAACCCAATCGCAACCACAACATTTGAGGCTGAGGCTAAGGTGGGAAGAAATTATTCCCGATGGTGAGAGACCCCGCACGGCTACCGGGTTCCTCGTTGCTGGCGCGGGGGACTTCCTTGCCATTTTCACTTCTCAAGTCCGGCACTCCGGCACGTGTGTGGGTTCGCCAACCTTCGGGCGGGGGGTCATGGAGCCCCTAAAGCGCCACCGAGGTGCCGTGAGTACATTCCGCTAACTGAGATATCTCAGAGTATTCGTTGATATGTGCGCCTGCGTTTCGAAGGTGGCGGTTGTGCGGTGTGATGAAGAGGGGTGGACAAAACCAAAGTACCTGAGTGTATGCTGCCTCGGGGGTTGCGGCCTCCGTGGATACGTCACGGGGGTTAATATCTGGCTTTCCGAGCTGAGGGTTTGGCCTGATGGACCTGGCACCCGGATGTACATACATGTACACTGGTTCCAGCTGTCGTGATTTTCCTCAGGGGTACTCAGGAGCGGCAAAAAAAATGCAACCCTACGTGTACATTGCACTGAGGCTCGAGAGGCTCAAAGCTTACTACAGCCTACGGTTCGGATTTGCTTCGGAGATGTGCACGAGCGGAGGCCATGGAACCCTCGTCGTGGATCCCGGAGCTACCGCAGATCTTCTCGCAAGTCCCGAAGGGGGCCAAGCAAGACGGAAAGGTGTGGACGCTTGCTGGCGAGGTTGCGTTCCATTGCCAAGGCCGTAAGTCGATCTTGGAGGGAGTCGTTCGCTGTTCTTGGATGGGGAGTCCCATAACTTGTTTTGCGTATACTCTCGTGGTCGACCGCAGCCCAGCGGGCGTGTGGTGGGTTTGGTCAATCGCAATGTAGGAAACGGTAAGAGTACCTACGTGTAGCTACTGGGAGATGGGTACCATGTGAGCATCCAAGGGGGGTTCTGCAGACTCATTCCTCATTTATGTGGTCTCGTGTGGCACTGGCCGATCTTGCAAATATTGTTTAAGCAAGGGAGGTTAGGTGGTGACAGTTCGGTCGACGTAGGTAGCGCACACGTCGTCGTGCTTAGCGGAGCTTCTCCCTCTGTACCAACAATGCACCGTCGATTCGCATCGCGGATCCCCCGGGTTGCATTCCCTCATATATTTTCTTCGGTCATGTCGGGTCTTTGAGGACCATGATCGACTAGAGACCCGTGTGGTTGGAATTTCAGTGGTTGGGATCGCGGCGCGCGGTATTCGATACTCTGGCAGTCTGGCACTAGAACTGAGGTAACGTTAATTAACTAGCTGTCATTGTCCGATAGAGGCTGCCACTGGCGGCTGTATGAGGTAGTTGTTGCGCAAGTACTGTACCGCACGACGGAAACGTGAGCTGGGAGCACGAATAACTTACCCAAGTACCTAATTACGATACCGGAGTCTCGCGAAATGCATTCATTCCAGTCATGCCGGTTGTTGATTATACCAAGGCAGTCCTTTGCTCTGGGGGTGGGAATTTGCATGTCTGATTCTGAAGTTCAGGTGGAATATCAAATAATTGTTTTGGCCTTGGTTGCTGTTGTTTTTTGGGTTGGGCAAGGGGGTTACTTTTGGTTGCAATGAATATTATAACTAGTTAGAGTGAATCGAGTAATTACTGAGTGAATCAAACAGCGCACTGAGGTGGTCCGGGTTTGGAGAAATATTTTTCTGACTGATAATTCTTTGATAAGTGCAGAAGTTGTTAACTAGTTGATTGATCAGATGTTCGTTCTCCCCTCCTACTGGCCCCAGCGGCCTATGTTTATTTCCAACCCGCCAGGTATATCAGCCTCATTGAGAATAATTAACACCCACCTCATGTAGCTAACGTCCTTCGATTAAGTATTAGCTGAGGTAAGAGTCGCATGTCAAATATACTGTAGAGCGAGCTCATCAATCTTGCGCAACTCCTTCAAGCCGAGGTGCTTGTCACTGTCTTCCTTCACTTCTCCTCCCACTCCTCGGTCGCCGGATAATTATGCTCATAAAATTGTAATTACAATATTCAATAGCCCCTCTAATAATACCTAGCATCCTCACTAAACACCCATCGTCCATAATGTAAGAAATAATTGGTGGTAACTAATACCTTGGCTAAAAGGGAATGTTTCCTTCCCCCTTGGCCAAATTAGGACGATGATCTTCCAGGAGGGCGTCGTCAGTATAGGCTTTCTCTCGACTGTGCAATCGACGCATAAGGTTGAGAACGAGTGAGAGACCAGGGTGTCATTTACGGAGCCGCGGAGCCCCCGAGGCCACGGACCGAGAAGATTTTGGATGTAACCCTAACCCCCACCCATTTATCGTTCGCTGGTGTTTAACTCCATAACGTTAGCCATTGTCTGTCTATCTTCTCTTCCGAGCACTCCCCGATCACATCATACGCCGCTGGTTGTGGCCGGCTTGTGGCCGGTCTTCCGGTGGGTGCTCTTTGTTCTGTTTTTTTCGCCAGCATTTTTATTTTATTTCCCTCGCTTTTTTTTGCCACTAGGCGGCTCATGACCCATTCGATATTTACGCCGCTGAATTTGATTTAGGCTCATCTCCCTCACCCCATCGCTGCCTCAAACTACATCTTCAGCCAGTAAAGAGAAACAAGGTTTTTGGACGACTCGACAACTAAGATTTGGAGACTCCGACGAGGCATCGCCCATCTTGGCAGGTTCACACCCTTCGCTTCGCTGATGATAAGGGGTTTTAACACGGCCGGCGCGCTAGGCCCGCCGGCCGATGTAAGGGGGCCAGGCGAGGGGGCCATCAACAGCGCTGAGGAGTGGACACCACCGCCACGCGACACCCCGATACAGAACAACCCCGGGGGCCCAGCCGGCCCCGGCGGCGGATCCCCGGAATCGGCAGGGGCCGGATCCCGGAGTCAGCCAAAATCCCGGTCGGGTGCGAGCACGGTGTCGTGGAAAGACCTGCCTCGCAAGGGTCAGCTCATTGTCATCACCCTCACCCGCCTGAGCGAGCCGCTAGTACAGACCTCGATCCAGTCGTACATGTTCTACCAGCTCAAATGGTTTGATCCGACTCTACCCGACTCGGCCATCTCCGCGCAGGCCGGTGTCCTACAGTGTGTACTACTCTGTTATTGTTTTCCCACAATCAAGCCGGATGAGGCTGGCTGTAGTTATAATAGTTATACGGCAGTGGCTAATACACGTATCTTCTAGTGCGAGTTTTACGGCTGCTCAATTTTTGACGGCTATGTTATGGGGACGTGCAGCGGATTCTAGTCGGTTTGGTCGTAAGAACGTCATCTTCATTGGCCTTCTAGGCACGAGTAAGTGTTGAAGCAAGTCACTGCTATTGCCGTTTCACACCGCGACTGACTGGCTACTCCCCTTCCCTCTCACCTAGTGCTTTCATGTATAGGGTTTGCATTCTCGACTTCCTTCCGCCAGGCCCTGTTTTTCCGGGCCCTTGGAGGTGTGACCAACGGAAACGTGGGAGTGCTCAGGACCATGTACGAGCAACCAACCTCCAGAGTGTGAATTTTGGGCCGTTGACTGACATAACGATAGGATTAGCGAAATAGTCAGAGAGAAGAAGTAAACTGACCACTCCTTGTGTTTTTTTAGATCGATTGTATTTCCCAACACTGACACTATCGCCCCGACAGGTACCAGTCAAGAGCCTTCTTGCTCCTCCCCATGACGTTCAACATCGGCGCCATTATCGGTCCCATCCTCGGTGGCCTCCTTTCCGACCCAGCGGGAAGTTATCCTGGATTGTTCGGTGACGTTGAATTCTTCAAACGCTTCCCCTACGCCACACCCAACATTGTGTCGGCCTTCTTCCTGTTTGGCGCGATGCTTTGTGCTTGGCTTTTCCTTGAAGAGGTGGGGACCCCCTTGACATGCTCATGTTATTTGGTTCTGTCCGTGTTTTGCTTACTCCGTATTGAATTAGACTTTGGATTCACGCTTCGATAAGCGAGACCGAGGCCTCGAACTCGGACGAAAGATTCGGTCATGGATTCGGGGCCGCTCCACCGGCCGGGGCTATACGCTCGTCCCTGACGAAGATGACGATAGCACGCTTGATTTGGTGTTAGAAGCCGGGGCTGTAACCTCCTCAAGTGAGAGACGAGGAGACACCCGCCCTCGGCAATCCTCCGTCAGCAGCATCCGCCTCCAAACACCTACAACACCGACCCGGCCCAGGCGCAAGTACACCCAGCGGCTCCCCTTCCGCCGGATCTTCACCCCCAACGTCCTCTGGACGTTCGTCGCCAACTTCCTCCTCACGTTCCATATAGGCGGCTTCAACTCGCTCTGGTTCGTCTTTTTATCAACTCCCGTCTACGATCCGTCTGGGACGCGATCGTCTGAGCTTCCCGAAGACGCCCCCAGGCGCCAACTACCCTTCGTTTTCACCGGCGGTCTTGGCCTGCATCCGCGTGAGGTTGGCATGGCCATGTCCATCCTGGGTGTTATCGGTATCAGCATGCAGCTCGGGATCTACCCGCGCCTGTCTGCGCGCCTCGGCACTATCCGCAGCTGGCGATTGTTCATGACCGTCTTCCCCCTGACGTATTTCCTGATTCCCTACCTGAGTATCGTGCCCTCTGCGAGCCCCCCTCCACACGCTAAGGACGGATTCCTTGTCTGGGGCGCTATCGTGTGCGTCCTGTTTCTCCAGGTTGTCGGGCGCACGTTTTCGCTGCCGTCTCAAGCGATTCTCGTCAACAACTGCACGCCCCACCCGAGTGTGCTGGGGACGGTCCATGGGATTGGGCAGAGCGTGAGCAGTTTGGCGCGATCTACGGGTCCGGTCCTAGGTGGGCTCGTGTATGGGTTCGGGTTGTCGCATGGCGTGGTTGGGATCGTGTTTTGGGGGATGAGCGCCGTGGCTTTGTGTAACATTGTGGTGAGCAGGTTTGTGAGAGAAGGGGATGGCCATGAAATTTGGTTAGAGGGGGATGTCGAGGAGAATGAATCGGTGGAACGGACTGTGTAAAGACCTGGTTTCCTTAGCCGCATCGAGGTGGCTCGCCTCGGTGATCTTGGGTACATATTTAAAGATGCGATGTAGAGGAGATAGATGACTGACAATCACCATTGCTGGCTCGATGCTTCAAAAGGGAACTGAACTAAATCGGTCCCGAATTCGAGATACGCCCAATCTGCCCTTTTCTCAGGCTCCTCTAGGGCCTCTAATTGAGTTCTCGTCAACCTAGCTAAGAGACCGAGGTCTCTGTAGAGAATGGGAGATAGCGAATGGAAAGGTGATTGGGGGCTTGGGGCTGTACAGGTGCTTCCTTTCTGCCAGTCTCAGTGAGGGCCGTGCTACCTAACCACGAATTTATTTTCCGGTGGTACTGTTTCTAGAGCGGTGTTGTACTTCGTATGTGTAACAAATACAATGAAGTGGTAAGATTGCCGAGGCAAGATATGAGTGGTTCCGCAGGGAGGGTCCACCCGGCCGGCCGGTTCCTTCCTTCTCTCACCGCACCGCCCCAGATAGGACCTTCCTTGATTGAAACAAAGTCAGCCCACGCCAACAATACTCACAGCCAACCTAGCCCTCACCAATGGCGGAAAATCACAAATTAATTATCCCGAGCCCGGGGGCCGTCATCGAGGCCACCGCGCTCACACCCGAGGCCTTTGCCCCGTTTGGGGACGTGGTGGAGAATCCGAGACCAGATGTTCACCCTTCCCGCGCAGAGAACGAGAAATCTGTCCTCCCCTTCAACGCCGTCGTCGCCAATCAAGGCTCGGCCGTCAAATACCAACATGTATCGCGCCAAGTAAACCTCTACGGCCAGGCTCCGAGTGGCCGTCCGGCGTCGGCCATCATGAGCATGTTTGTGTGTGCAGCCCGGGTCCGTCTGCCGGACCCACTTCGGACGGCATCGCCAACATCACGGACGACAACCACAACCACAACCACAAAACCATCACCACCAACATCATCTTCATCATCCCTCCCCTCAAAGTTCCCCATCACCGTCCTCGAACGTCACCCCTACACAACCCAAACCTTCATCCCCCTCAGCCGCAGCCCTAGCACCCGCTACCTCGTCATCGTAGCACCTACTCTACCCTCCAACCCAACACCACCATACTCCTCCTCCTCAGCACCAAAATCTGGCACGACATCCCATCTCCCCGTCCCAAGCCACCTGCCCACTTCCCTTCCCGAAGCAGCAAACTACCCGCGTCCTCTCCCGGGCAGTGGCCCCCCGGACCTGCAGCAGATCCGCGCATTCATCGCGACAGGCGCACAGGCCGTGACGTATGGTGCTGGGACGTGGCATGCGCCTATGGTGGCGCTGGGAGAAGGGGAGGAAGCGGTGGATTTTGTGGTGGTGCAGTTTGCGAATGGGGTTGGGGAGGAGGATTGTCAGGAGGTGTTTTTTGAGGCGGGGGAGGGTGATGGGGAGATTGTGGTCTCCGTCTCGTTGGGAGTGGAGGAGAGCGGGAGGGTGGAAAAGGCGAAGCTGTGAGGGTTGATGAGGGGATTGGTTGTGGTATCGCATCTAGTTATATAAACACCGTGACACCTTCGTGAGTCGAAGTTGACTGATGTGTGCAGTGTCTCGGTCAGATTGCCGGCAGCCACAGGAACTGGATGAACAGACCAAGACACTGATCACGGGGAGCGCAAGGTTAATTATTTAGTACAAATTACATTTGAGGAGGGGTACCGGGGCTAACAGAACATGGCAAATCAGTACACCCTCCTCCTAGACGTTACATATCGACACCAGATGATGTACCTTACAAAGCGCAGAAGCGCTGCCCTTGGGGACATTGATCCTCTTGGGGATCCCCCGAAATTCTCCGAAAATCCTCCGAAATCCATGAAAAGTCCACCTCAAATCTATCGCGGAAATCCCTTGTATACCCAGCATCCATTGCCGCCTTGTTGTAGCCTGACCTCTCCCCCAAAAGGCTCGGGATGCTTCTCTCAAATCCAGTCGCCCCTGTAGTCCAGATTTTGCACCAAACTTATTGCAGCCAGACCGCCACGGGCGTTCTTGGCTAGGCGATGAAAGGAAAAGAGAGGGCAAAGAAAAGAACAGGAAAAAAAAGAAAGGAAAAAAGAAAAAGCACCGAAAATCAAGGCGAGAAAGTGAAAGTTCCCAAGCACTGTGCTGCGTGTCTCCCGTTCTACTCCTCCATCCACAGAGGGAGCGGGTTTTCCCTGACGTAGGCGGCTACACCAGGGCTGTGCTCCGCGTGCTGGCGCAGCGTGGCATCTTCGATGGTGCCGCGGGAGATAACATGGTAGATGTGCACCATCTTGCTCTGACCCGTCCGGACACACCGACCTTTGGCCTGCCGCATGGTCCTCGCCTGGTACTCGACGTCCTGATGCACAAAGGAATTGGCGAAGATGACGTGGTTCGCAATCGTCAAGTTGCTGCCCGCGCTGGTCTCGTTGTCGATGTCGAGCAGCAGGATCCGGGGGCCCTTGCCTTCCTTGAATTCCTCGAGGTGGGTGGCGACCTTGTCGTTGTCGACGGTCGCGAGGTCGCGGAATTCGATATTGGCGGCGGTTAACGCCCTAGCCAGAACTCTAAGGAAGGTTTGGTACTGAGCAAATATGACAACGTACTCGTTGGTGGGGACCCGGTCCCGGAGGATGTCCAAGATGGCGTCAGTCTTGGTGCGCGGCTCGGACAGGGAGGACGGGGGAATCCCCGAGCACTGGAGCACCGGGCGTTTGCGGATGAAGGCCCCGCAGCCGGTGGCCGGGCAGTTGAAGTCGCCGTTGGTCTTGCATGTTTTGCACAGGAAATGGCCACACGCCACCACCAGGAAGGACTCGGTCGCCGATGTGAGCTTGCGGTTGCAGGCACTGCAGGTTCGGAGCTGGATCCGGTCCTCCAGGCTACCGCCGTTGGCATCGGTATCGTCCGCGGTGAGTGCGGCGTACTCGGGACCAAAGCGCGCCTCGGTCATATACGCTTTCAGATCCTCCATGGTTTTGGCTAACTGGACCATCGTGAGCTTCATCTCCTGGCGTGTGGCGTCCACTTGGGTTTTAAACGACGTGCCGAAGGCTCCGATCGCGCGGTCGAGTTTGCGCGACAGGCTGGGCGGCGCGCGACCATCCCGGTATTGGGTATGGTCTAAGGTGCCGTGAAGGTGGCCATCCAACAGCCTCTTCAATTCCGTGACCGAGGTACCCTGGTTGAACTTGACGTTGGCCACTAAGAGTTGACTCGTGTAGAAGCCCTTTCCTCCACCCGAACGGCCACGTGGGACGACCTGCTGCTCCAAATCTCGGCCTGAGCTCTGCGCCGACGCCTGTTTTGACGACTGCGCCGCGTGTTCAGCCTTCTTCTTGAGATACTGCATGATAAAGCGTTCGAGACGGTCGCGAGGGGCATGGTCGATTGTGCTATAGTCCGCGCTAGGTCGGTCTTTGACGTCTCCCGGGGGCGGGTTAACGCGGGTCTCCGGGTGAAGATCGTGCCCCCCGAGGCCGAGGTCGGTGAAGTGAGGGTTGTATGAGGACGCCTCCGGGTTGATCTTGTATTTTATGCAGGCCAGGTCCATCGCTAGCTGGCGGACCTGGTCGTCGCTCGCGTCTTTGAGGAACTGGGCGGGGTTGTCGATGCGGAAGAAGTCGGCCCAGGTGTATAGCGCCTTCTCGTGGGCGTAGTTCTCAGCCCAGCCCTTGTAGAAATGCGGGAGCCAGGTCTCGATGACGGGTCTTTTGTCATCAACGAGGGTCGACGGCCTGGCGATGGTCCTCGCCTGGAGGACAAACGCCTCCTTGCCGCCCACATGATCAAAGCTGCGGTCTTCTGGTCCGCCTAGAGCTAGGGTCATGTGTTCGCACAGGCCTTTGACCTGAGCTACATAACCCTTCGCCCTCAACTCCAAGTGGGAGCCTTTCCTTGGCTGGCCCGAATCCCCCTCCGGCTGGCCAGAGTCCGAGTCTTCCTCTGGCTGGTCCGAGTCTGAGTCTTCCCCGGGCTGGTCCGAGTCCAAGTCTTCTTCCGGCTGGTCCGAGCCTTGTCCCGACAGCTTGCGAATCCAGGCCCAGAGCCACATCAGCTTGTCCCAGAGCAGCTTCGCCTGACCGGAGAGGTCCGCAATTCGCTTCTCAATGGCGGCTTGGAGCTTGGGCAGCTCGGACGTCCGTTCACACACGCTGCAGGCCAGCAACGCGAGGAGAACTCTAGCGTTGAGCGGACTGTCTTTGCTCGGCGCGTCGCCGGGCGCCAGCTTCACTGCGGAACGGGAGTGCGGCGCGAGGGCGGTATAGTCTCCATCGGCGTCGAGGAATTCCTGGGTGAGCATGTAGTAGTGTACACTGTCCATGGTCCCCAGGTGGACGGGCACGACGTGTTCCGTGGAGGGGATGTCGACCTCGCCCTCGAGCGTGTTAGCGCGGAAGTACGCAGATACGAACGACTCGGCCTGCTGGTGCCTCTCCTCGACGAGCGCGGTTGACTTAAGTCCAGAAGATAGGACGTAAAATTGCTCGCTTTTCGACATTGGGGTGAGCTCGGGGCCCTTGGCCACGGCCGGCAGACCAGGTGGCATCCGCGGCTCTGGGCGCGCGATATGAATGCCGAACACAGAGGCTATATCACAAACTTGCTTTAAATTAAAGAGTTTGGGGGTCCCTGATACAAGCCACTTTGCGTTGGCCACGGCATTCGAGACGAAGAGGCGTGTGTACCCGGTCTCGTTGTCGTCCCCGTACGAGCACTCATCCCAAAAGATTCGAGCAAAGGTGCAGGCGTGGAGGGACGAGGGCTTCCACTTCAGTCGCTTCGGCGTGGCCTTGCTGGGTTCCCCACCGTCGCCGTTATCCTTGGCCTTGGCCTTGTGCTGCTTTTTGTAGAATTTCCGGCTGCTGTCCTTGACCTGCTTGTCGAACACACCCTTGACTTTGGCCGCTTGAGGTGCCGTCAGCGCACCCAAAACATGCTCCTCTAGCTTGTTCACGACGTCGTCACGTGCTGCCCCCGACCAGTCCCCCCTTTGGGTGGCCTCATAGTAGTACGCATGGAGCAGGCGGTGATGGCGCAAAGCATCGCGGTACCACGCCTCGAGGGTTCTCCCCGACAGTCCCTTGCGGCTTTTGAGTCCCGGGGGGGTGACCACTTCGAGCTGGTTCAGAAGGGACTCCCCAAACGCCGAGCTGCCGACAATGATGATCTCGGCCACCTCAAGTTCGTCCAGCGAGACAGTCTGGAATTTAGCGGCGCTACCAATCACGAGAACGCGGCGTCCGACCAGGCCCAGGAACTTCTTGGCCTCGCTCGCCCACTGCTTGGTGATGTGCTGCGGAACGACGACGAGGGTCGCCGACAGGTGAACGAAGAGCTGCTTGGGAGCCCGGAGCGGCGCACGACGGACAGAAATGTGGTCCACGGGGATGTTCAAACCCTCCCGGATTTCGGGGACCGCCATCCAGGCGCGCTCGATGCTCTGCCGTACCCGGAGAGACTCGGACTCGTCGTAGGTTCGCTGGTAATCGATCAATGCAAGGCTGATGACGGTCTTGCCGTAGCCGATGTCGTGAGCCATCAGGCCGCCGCGGCAACTGAATGGCAATGTATTAATCCATTCGGCCTTGCCCACGACACGGATGTTAAGCGCCGAGATTACCTCTTCCTCGATCTCGCGCTTAATGAAGTCAAGGGGGGCGCGCTCTCGGAAAAGCATCCAGTCGACAGCTTGTCTCTGGCCCATCCGCAGCTTGTGTTTCTCCCGAACGAATCTGGCCGGCTCGGTAAGCGGTAGTATCGCCGTCATATCCGTCATGCCGGGCGCAAGAATCTCGGTATCGATGCCGACCGTGTTTCTTATGTCGCAGGGCTGAACAGACTTGGCAAACGGCTTCAGCGCCAGAACCGCGGTAGGCACAAAATCGAGCACAGTGGTGAAGAAAGTCGCGGCATCCGATTCCACGACGCGTCGGCCACCTAAGCCTGTGCGGTAGACTGGTAAAAGATGTGCGAGCGCCTTAGAGACCAAAGCCCTCGGCTGCATCAGGAGTCGGAAGGCCACGTCCATGTTGTCCATATCGTGCGGGCTACGCACCAGCCGCGCGGCGACCACCACGGCCCGGCTGAGATCGCGGAAGTGCTTTTCGAATTCGGCGGCTTCCTGCGGGTCCTCGATGAGGCCCCTCTTCGTAGCCCTTTCCTCGCCGTTCTCCGGGACTGGCCGGGCATACACCTTGGGTGGAGTGATCGCGCAGCGCTTGCAATGGGGAACGGAAACCCACTCGCCATTGAGGTGTCGGAACGCGCCGTCTAGTGTGTGCGCAGGTGTCCTCGTTTTGCGGAGCTCGTTGGTGATGCACGCAAACATCTTCAAGAACGCATCATTCGCTGGGTGGGGCACGACGTAGAACGCGCCGCCGGTCTGGGCCGCATCGATCTTGGAAAGCCGTGGGGCCGAGCCTGGGAAGCTGGCCGGGAGCGTGGCCGTCAGGACTGCGAGGGGCGGGAAGCCTTCCAGGAGCTTTGCATCATCGCGGTCGTGGCACATCGGCTGCACGATCGCGTCGGCAGTATTCCAGGAAACTCGGACAGAGTGGCCGATGGGCTCGAGAGCATGCGAGTCTTGGAGTACGGGGAGGACACTGGTGCCTCTCAGCGGATAGGACCAGTAGCCACGCCAATGAGTGTCCACCGCATGGCCGGCGTGGAAAGTGCCGAGACTCCAGCAGTTGGTATTCATCCCAGTGATCCTCTTTGAAGGCTCGGCGTCCTTGTTCCCGGCATGGAGCAGGATCTCGCGGTACTCGTGAGCGTCGATCCTCCTCATTGTGTGGGTCCACACGAAGTGATCCATCTCGGGATCTCTCAGACTGAGAGATTCCCACATCATAAAGACCTTCCTAGTACCCGTACGGTCTCCCCTGCCGGGTTGTCTGGAATGCAGACGGGTCCCGGGAGTTCCGCAGTTGGGATGAGGGGTGTACAAACCGCAGATGGCCTTTTCCACGGTCTGCTTCCAAGCCTGCAGTGACGGATCCCGCAGATCAGCGGCCTTCTCTCCGGGAGCGAAATTGAGCTTGCACGGAGCGGGAGCGTGGCCTACAGGATTGGAGAACTTCAGCCGCAGGTTGACCTTCTTGGGGATCCAGACGGACCAACACAAGTCGGAGACGCCACCAAAAACCGCCTCGCCGCGGGCAATGGGCTGGGAAAGGCCAGGCTCCTTCAGTAAGTTGGGAGCGTGCGGAGACCAGGGGGCAATGTAGATGTACCATCGCAGCCCGAAGTCATCCGAGAGGACCATGCGCGCGATGCTGTGGGTGGCTTTGTAACACACGGTCACCACCTCGGTGGTCTTGATGTCGTCTACATAGTATACCGGGTTTCCCCCCAGAACTTCGGCTAGGGCGTCGCCGTACGGTCCCGGCCCAGCGAGGGCCAAGCCGTGTTGGACGACAGCATCCGGGAGGCGTAATACAAGAGATCCCGGGAGGGTGTTCTTCAGTTGGACTTTGCCCTGTGTGTCGGAGATGGAACGGTGCAGGCCCTCTGTTCTGGGGCGGAACGAATGCACCGGGCTTCCCTGGCATTTCGAGCAGGCCGTGGTGCCACAGTCGTGGCAGATCAGATAGCCGCCGGACGGCCTGTAGCAATGGCAGAGCCGCGCCATGCCCGCGACGGCTAGGCACAGCATCGGGTCGGATGTGGTCACGCTGCTGGTGTTGCTGTCGCGCCCATCCACCAGCGTTTCCTCGCCGTCACCGGGGCCCTTGACATACACGCCGTGCGCCGGATGGGCCGAGGGGATCTGATTAAGGAAGTTCGGAGCTACCCCGGCTTCGAAGATAGACAGAAGGAGGCATAGGGTGGTTGCGCCGACCACGGTAACTGTCATGGCGTTGCCGGCGAGATCGCGCAGTTCCCCTTGGGTCTCCGTCGAGATCACTAGCTCATCGGCTGGGAGGCCTTGGAGGGCAAGCGTCTCTGTTCCGGTGATGGGGCGCATCAGCTCGGTGATGACAGGCATTCCCGACGGCGTAATGCAGCCGATGATGCCGAACCTGTTTGCTGCGCTGTGACTTCTGTCGAGCAAGGTGCATCGGTCCACGTTCTGGCTCACATCCACCATGACGGCCTTGTAGCCGAGGTCGAAACCTTCGTGGCGGAGGACTGCGGCATAGATGATGTCCATCAGGTCGACGACCCTCGGGACTTCGCGGTCCCAGTACTCGAGCCAAGCATGTGAGGGGAATGTTTTGTTGATGAGTTTGCCGTTGCGCATCGTCTTATGGCTGAACGGGTTCTCGTTATCCCGCAGGCCCTTCTTCTGCCGGGCCATGGCGTGACGCAACCAACTCAAAGACCACTCCATCTGGGACGACGACTTAGTTTCCATTTCGGCCCGCGCCTGGATCGTGCCGGGGTCGTCCGAGGCGCCGATAAACGCTGTGACAGGCGCTGAAGCGCGGCGCTTCATCGTATCGATTTCATGGAGCCAATATTCAGCAACCTCCCAGGCCTTTTCTACCCCGAGCCTCAGTGCATCGACAGCAACAAGATAACCGCGCACACGGGTTTGCGGTAGGTAGAACTCTTTGCTATCCAGGCGTTTGTAACAGGCAGCATAGCCAATCTTGGGGAAGATATCGTGCCTGTACATCGGCCACGGAGCCCCAGAAACGTTCTCGAGAATGATGAGCTTCGGCCGCATATCGGCGATCAGCTTAAGGGCTGCAAAGAAAGTCCTGGAAGACTCGCCACTTGAATCGAGATTGTGAAGCTCGCAGAGCCCCGTTTTGAGATCCTCGATGAATTCTGGTTCCAATTTGATTTTTGGCCTCGTTTCCGGGCTTTGGTCGTCGCCCCCTTTGGTCCGGAATCCCGACTTTGCATGCTTCAGGTGTTTATCGAGACTAGGAACTTGACCCGAAGGTTTCTTCGTGTTCAGGTTCGAATAGTCGACACAAGAGCAACCGGCAAAAAAGATATCGATTGGTTCTTTCGGAATCACAGCTTTCGAGCCGCGGGCGGTAGTACTAGATCGGCATTACTTGTCAGCTTTATTGGACTTTCCGGCTTGGGGCCGGGGGGTGTCTGAAACAGCAGTTGGGAATGGGAACTTACGCTTCACCTCCTGGGCCTGCCTCGGCCATCTCTAAGACGTCTCGAAAGACTTCACAAAAGTACCAAAGGTTGCGACTGATGAAACCCTGCTTGGCAGGTTCAATCTCACAGCTAAACAGATGCTTCACCTCAAAGCCGGCACCGCGCAGGGTAGCCATGAGAGCATCCTGAATAAACTTCAAACCGAAGATAGGGGCGTCCGTGCCGGAGCACACGGTTGCCACGGTGAGCCTGACGGGAGCATTCTGCAGGGGACCGGTGTCAACTTTGCGGATCATGTCATTGAACATGTCGCCGACATCGGAAATCGGCACCCGGCTAGTGTCGAGCCGTTTGTCACTTTCTGTAGTCTTGCCACCACCCTTTGCGCCATCAGGGGGACTAGCGGTATCAGGCTGATCCGGGTTGGCAGCTGAGGGGATGATTTCCTCGCTGGGCGAGGCGCCGGTGGTGTCTCCGTCCAACGAAACCTTGATCTTTTTGGGTTGGCCGGGGTTACCAGCGATGTCGTTGGCTGGCCTCTTGCGCTGATGGTCGACGGGGGGATCGCCAACTGGTCCTCCCGCCGCAGTCGATGCGCGAGACTTGCCTTTGGCTCTGCCCCGAGCCATGATGCTATCGGCGGGTATTGGTTAGGGATGGGGCTTTGGTTATCTATCTTGATTTCAACTGACGGGGCTATCCTTACTCAGCGATTCGACGGCGGGATACCGACTTCTGGGAAGCTATATTTCGGCGTCGAACTTTAGGTTTTTTCTTTCTTTTTGGTTCTGGTTTTACGCCGATCGGAGGCGAGAGAGAAAATGAAGCAGAGAGAAAGGAAAACTCAAGCAGTAATGCGTCAAAGATGAGCGATCTTTGAAGGGGTTGATGCAGCTAGGAGTGACGCAGAGTTTTGTTGGTGTGCTCTCGGGTCTTTCTAGCTCGGTGGGGGAGAAAGAGGAATATTTTCAGGAAAGGATTCGCAGAAAGGATTGTGGGCAAGAATAAATACCCAAAGAGGGCGAAAAACACGGGCAGAATAGGGCGGAACCTGGCGGGGGCGTGTTTCGTGATGGTGTTGACGGGGGATGAGGCGGGTCCCGGATGCCGAGACTTGTTGAGATCGAGGGGCGACAAGAACCGGGCAGGAGCATGAACAATGAAAGCGAAGAACACGGGCAGATCTAGGCCAGACCGACGGCAGTGCCCTTCGTGATGGCGCCCTTTGTGATACCGCCCTTCGTAATACCGCCCTTCGTAACGGCGCCCTTCATGACGGCGCCCTTCGTGATACCGCCCTTCGCGATGGTGTTGAGGAAAGGGAGGCGGGTTCTCGACACCGGGAGAGCCGTTCAGATCGAGAGACCAGACCGGAATCCCGAGAAAGAGAACACCACATCCTCTTTCACAGTGTGATGGGCATATCCAAACCGACCGTGGCCTGTGTCTAATACGGCGATATGAGTAAACCGACACACTCGGTGTTGTGAGCACAGTGACCACTATAAGTGGTGAGAATACAAAGTCAGAAAGGAGTTGTGAGCACATGCCGACCTGTGTGCAATGTCCACCACGTTGCGGCCCCAGCAGCTGTTTAGTGTCGTAGAAACATCAACTGTCTTGCGTTGCAAGCACATCGACAGACCGATGCCGACATATGGAGCGTTATAAGCATATCGGCCGTCTCATGTTGCGAGCACATAAATCGTCTCATGTTATGGACGTCAATCGTCGCATGTTGTGAACGCATAGATCGTCTCATGTTAAAAGTATATCAGCCACCGGTATTCAGCCCTATCGGCACATCAGACAAACACTGTGTGAAAGTAGGAACTGGGTGAAGGGGTCTAACGTCCTTGATCCTGAGTCTACAGCGTAGAAAGAAGAAGGAAGTGTATGTTCTGGCCACGGCTGCAATGGCATTGAGCCGGCGGGACAGTGCTGGCAGACTCCCAATGAATTACAGGACGCGTGAGTCTCGGCCAAACCTCTTTCATCAAGCTGCATGGCACCGGCCGCTATTCCTCGTTCCTGAATTTCCAATTCTAGGCTCGGAGGAGATGAGGTGTCGTCGAACCTAGAAACATGGCGGAACCCTTGGTGAAATACGCATCCATGGGAAGCCGGAGAAAAAAGGACGGCACTGTCGGGCATTGTTGCTTTGTCACACTATGAGAACCAAGGGCCTATTCAGGATGAGGAGTACATAGGATAATCGATCTGGATCCGGTGTAGTTATTGGCTGCGGCGCCGGCTGTTCTGTCGCATGACTGGTCTGTGCCTCCTAGGGAACTAAAAGAGGCCGCTGGTCCCGTTACCGAGTGACATTTTACGACTTCGTCGTCGTGGAAGCCGGAACCTTGCCAGGAAGAACCATGACGGGGAAAGAGGCGGAGACACATTGTCGGTTGGCGTAGCGTTTGGAGCTGGAGAGAACGACACCATCGGTGGGAGCAGCTCAAACGGAGACGGCTTTGATGTTTGTGGCCCAGGTGGACGTAGTACACGCAGAGATAGATAAATGGGTGGACAACCCCTGAAAACCCTACCGTGGCTGAAAATGATGCCAAGCAGGTGTAACAGGAGTGAGTTAGTTGTGGCTGGGGGTTATCTCCATTTGCGGGTATTGTGGAGTTGCGTGGCTGAGCGGCGAGTGAGTAAGCCGATTGTCAGCCCTTCTGAACACTCTTCCAACCGCTTGACCTCAAATTTCCGGGAAGATTGAGCTGAAGAGCGGGGAGGAATTGGCGCCCACGATTCAATTTCTTGTTTCTGGATTTCCTTTTTCTTGTGTGGTGTTTACGGCAAACGAAAGGAAGGCGCCACCAGGGGCCTCCAAACTCAAACGGCCAAAGACAACCGGACTGGTCCTGCCTCGAAGGACGAGTCAGACACCATGGCACTTGCCTCTGGTGTTCACTCGGCAGATACCGGAAACAAATTTGAGGACTTTTCTGGTATTAAAATCGCACCCGGTGGCAATCCGTATGACGCTCTCATTGACGCCTGCCAGGACTCGCCGGTAAGTAATGATTAACCCCAAAACGAGATGAGGGAATGGCGCTCCAAGATGGTGGCCGGATATTAAGACTCGAAGCGGGGAGAAAAACCTTTGGATTTTGCGGCCTCCGGGTGAGAAGTTGATGGACGAGCCCCGGGATCGGGGTTGAGTTGATGGGTTTGAGAGAAGGTCGTTCTTGGGGGGTGAGAGCGGCCGGGAGCTGTACTTGAGCCGTGGTCTTCACCGCCCGTATTTGACCGATAAAAAGGGCGTTCATACCTATTTCTTGCCATCAAGAGGATAGGGATGATGCGGTTTCGGGGTTTAGTACAAGTCGATGCTCATGCAAGCCCGTGTTTTAGGCCAAGCTCCAGTCCCTGTATGCCACCCACCGAACGTCGAGGAATAAGCAGCAGCGAGAAAAGTTTTTGTCTTCCGAGTTCAAGGACCTGAATATCGACCCTATCCTGCTGAGGTTAGAGAAGCCTGAGGTAGAACCTGGTTTCAAAGATCCTCGGCACTGTCTTGTGTTTTGGGCGCGGCCTCCGGACCACATTGTGAAGCTGGCCCGCCATTTGCAGACACTGCTACAAGCTGCTGCGCCGAGTAAGATCTTAGGGCCTTCCCTTTTAGGATAACTCTTAACCAACTGATATCGCCGGTCGCCAGATCTTTGGCTCATGCCTCCACACCGCATGCACTTGACTGCTCTTGAGATTACTCACTCACGAACGGCCCAAGAAATTGGAGACTTAGTCTCGGCCATGCGGCCAGTGATTCCTGAGCTGACAGGGCTTACGTTTACGCGGCGCTCCCGGCTTGTCAAGCCCATGATTTCATACGACCTCTCTGCGGTGGCCGTTTCCTTCTTGCCAGCATCTGGGGAGAAACCAGTGTCCGCGGAATCGTCATCCCCACCCCTGGAGCATTCTGGAGAATCCAACGGCAGCGCATCTGGGGGTGATCACTACACATACCACCATCTGCGGCGCGATGCGTTTGACGTGGCCTCGGCGGCTGTCACTATCAACTCGCGTTACGTAGTGCCGAGCGCGCACGTCACCTTGGGCCGCTATATCACACAGGATGATCATAAGACACCCGAGATGCGGGAGCGGTGGATACAGACCATCGAGAACATCAACAAGTGGCTCGAGAACGAGGTTTGGGAGGTTCAGGACGGCCCATTCATTGGAGAGTGGATTGTTGGCCAGGAACGGGGTCTCGAAGGGCGCTGTGGGACCGTGTGGTATGGCGGAGGGCGGACCATTCTGGCAGGAGAGGGGTTTTGAGACGCAGAGAAAAGCGGGTTGAGAAATTAGTTAATGGTGCTAGAAGAGGTACGGATTATACGGTGTTGTTAGGGAGTGTGAGAGGAAGAGGAGAGCTGCATCTTGCAGGGTTAGGGTTTGTCGCGCCGTCCCGCACACCCGGGCGATTTGTGGGGAGAAAGAGAGACAAGACAAATGAAGGGACCCCCGCATTTGCAACCTCGTCTGAAAGGACCGCACATCCCGGCCTTTTTGACAGGAACTCCGCCAGCTCTTGGTTAATGGATCCCTACGGAGTCCTGTATCGACAAGAGCTGGCGCGTGACGCCCGAATCGAGCTAGATGGGCCAACATTTCCTTAGCCGGGTTTGTTTGCTCGTAATTATCTCCAGCTATTCCCTCTTCTACCCCGGCCTTCCAGGTTTCCAGGTTGGCGCGAAGATCGGCCCCCAGAAAAGATAACTCACGAGGTCGCAGACGCCCACGCCATTGCCGAGTGGGCCCAGCAGGTGTCGGCCCGCCGCGGCAGCAGGCCCAAGCTGAGGTTAGCGGTGGTTAGCATTGCAACGACATTTCGCTAGTTAATTAATAACAAGAATCTCTTCCTCAAGACCCGCAGGACCCTGGCCGTTGGCTGCTGCTTGTCGCGAGAAACCCCCCAACTGCTTGGACGACCGCTGTTGTGCAGTGGAACCACTTTAACTAACTCGCGGGCGGAAGGATTCCTCCCAAGTCCCAACTGCGCGCCAGGCGAGTGACCCCGGTTCCCACAGCGGATTTGCGACCGCGCTCCGCATTTCGTTCAGCGGAAAAAGAAAACACCCAAGCTAGATCCTCGTCACTCATCGTGAGAGCTCCCCTTTGACAATCTAGACAACCTAGCCCAAGGATTGGACTGTCGCTCGGCCATGCAGTGCTGCAACTGCAGTGCCACTCGCTCTCTCGATCACATTGGCCACGGCATCCGGATCTCAAAAACACCCGACCAGTTGTTCACGGTCTAACACCGCTGCCTCGAAGCAGCAAGAACGCCACATCTCCCTCCTCGGTAGACTGAGCCTGCGTCGTACCGTTTTCACACCATCTCATCTCACTTTCTTGGTTCCTCTACCTCTTCGGTCCTCGTCCCCCGCCAAACCATCGAGCCCGCTACGCGCCGCGCTGTTCATTGTCGTGCCGAGTAACCGTGCTAGCTCGTGCTTGATATGGTTGCGCAGTGGTGCTCACGTTTGGTACCGGACAATCGAGTAGGATCGTGGCCCTGACCCAGCGAGAGCGAGCCGTTGTACTGAAGGCGGCAAACCACAGCTTGTAAGCCAGGCAGCTCGCATGTCTGCCGTCTGGTGGCCTCGATCCCGTCCACGGGCCAGTCCTGAGTTACCCGCCGTGGCTACCTTTCTAGTCTAGTGAGCGCATGCTTGAAACGGAGGCCGACGAGCCCACCCCAAACAGCTATGGATGGGAGAAACTACTCCCTCGGGAGTAGTCCACATAACACCACAGTCCCTCCACCTCTTCCCGAGCGCCCAGCACGCCCCCCAACACTGCCTCCTCTCTCCGAGGTCCCATCGCCGCGGCCGATAGAGAGAGCTTCGGCCAGCGCTCTCCGCAGCGCTTTTCGACAAACCGTCCGGGCTGTAACGCCCGAACCAGTGGATCCTTTGTTCGACAGCCAAGACGGGCCCGGAAGTGATGCACCAAGAGGTTCTCGTGGGATTGGTTCTGCCTCGCCGCAAACCTCACCACGATCCATCCCCCTGGGCGCCGCTGGTTTGCCCGCTAGGCGCCAGGGTATTGTCTTTCACGATTCCTTCCCCGGCTCACTGGACGGCCCCTCGACGAGCCCGCCGCTCCGGGCGACCCCATTTCGGCCAAGAACACACACCATGGACGGTGCGTTCCGGCAACAGCTTGGCCCGGCCCTCGAGACACGCAATCGGATGGGCTCTTTCTCTTCGGCTACCTCTCTTTCCACTACAGATGACGTGAAACTACCGCCTTTTGCGTCGTCATTTGAATCGTACCACCATCCGGATTTCCAGCAGCAATCGGCCACACCGTCCTCCAAGGACAAGAAGCCGTGTGGTCCTCGAAGCCGGCTAAGCAAGCGTTCATCGTCGCGCCCTAGTTCGCCGCTTTCGTCCCTCCCGCCATCCGTGGATTCGCTTCCCCTTCCCATCCCGACGACAGACGTCAATAAAATCTTGCTCCTTATGAAGAACCTGTGTGGGAGGATGCGTGGGGAAGTCGAATATCAGAAGGATTTCAGCGCGCCATGGGTGGGCGGAATGTGTTATATCGAGGAAGAGCGCGGCAGCCTGATGTTTGATCCTGGCGATAGCGGGCCATTTCATACGCCCCTCATTTCCGATCTGCGAGGCTGCCGGGTGGCCCCGGTTGACTCTCTCGACAGGGATTCCCCGTGCCTCGAGGTCTCCAGTGCCCAGCTTGGCACGCCGCTTTTTCTGCGGCCGTTGGTTCCCGAGGAGCTGGATCTTTGGCTCGCGGCGTTGCTTTGCTGGCAACAGTTGCGCCCATCTGGCGCGAAGCCCCAACCTGTGCGCTCCGCGGGCAACCCCAGCGCTCCCGCGCCGGCACGAATGGAGATGAAACGACGGGTTTCGCTGCCGGGCCTCCGGGAGACGGCCATTATCAAGGTCGGCAAGCTGATGCTCTGGGACAAGGGCGTCGCAATGTCGCCGCGCGCTATTGTCAGGCGTCCGTCTACCCGCGATCTTCGATCTGCTCATACCTGCTGGAGGAAGGTTTCTTGTATTCTCCACGACAATGGCGAGCTCAAGATCATGACCGAAAATGATGTAACGGTTCTGTCCGTGATTGAACTCTCACAGCTCGCAAGGTCTGCCATTCAACAGCTCGACAAGTCCGTTCTGGACGAAGAATACTGCCTCGCCATCTTCCCGAGTTATTCGTCAACGTCGACCCAGCTTTCCATCTTTCGGCCGGTTTACCTCGCCCTCGAGACTCGGGTGCTGTTTGAGGTTTGGTTTGTTCTGCTGCGGGCCTTCACGATCCCTGATGTTTACAACCTGGACCTTGCCGGCGATGGACGAGTTTGCGAGGTGACCGACTTCCAACATGACCTTGCAGGGGAGACCTTCAGAGTGGAGAAGACGATATCGGTGAGAATCACCGAGGCTAAGTTGCGCAGCAGGACTTGGGGTCCTGAGGCTGGCCAAGGGGAACGCCCAGGCGACCGTCATGGCGACCGTGTTGGGAAAGGCGGCGAGCCTGATCCGCTAACTGGCAACTACCTCGCCGAAGTCATTTTAGATGGCGAGGTCCGCGCCAGGACAACAACAAAGATGGAGACCAAGAACCCGTTTTGGCGTGAAGACTACATATTTATGGACCTCCCGGCCTCATTGCCGTTCCTGTCCATCCTATTAAAGAAGGTAGATGGGAACGTGGATAGTTTTGCACACCACCTTCAGGCGACGTTTGGCATGGGAAAGTCGACTAGCGTGACAGAGACCCCCTTTGGCTTTGTCGATATCCCTTTGCATCACCTCGAGTGCGGGAAGGATTATGAACAATGGCTCCAGATCCACGACGATAGGCAACAACCCATCGGCTCCATGCTCGTCAAAATTCATCACGAGGAGTTTGTGGTTCTTCTACTCCAAAACTACCAACCGCTATCCGAACTATTGCACCGTTTCAGTTCGGGGTTGATTGCCCAGATCGTTGGTGCGTTGCCCGGGAGCTTACGCAGGCTCTCAGAGATTTTTGTGAATATTTTTCAGGTCTCAGGGTGCGCCAGCGAATGGCTGATGAACATGGTCGAGGAGGAGATTGATGGCATTGGAAATCAGGCACCAACCAAGAAAGGAAGATTCAGCGGGCGCCTCAAATCCAACGACTCCATTGAGTCGAATGTTGAGAGAGAACAGGTCGTTCGTGATTTGGGGAAGTCACTCCAGGGCGAAGCCAATCTGCTGTTCAGAGGCAACTCCCTGTTGACGCAGGCCTTGGAGTTCCACATGCGCCGTCTGGGAAACGAGTACCTGAGTGAGACGCTGGCCGAGAAGATCCTCGAGATCAACGAGAGTGATTGCAGTTGTGAGGTGGACCCAAGCAAACTGCAGCCCGGCGAAGACATTCAGCAGCACTGGACTCACCTCCTCCAATTCACCAACGATATTTGGGACTGCATTGCGTCTTCCACATCTCGTTTGCCCCCAGAACTCCGGCACATCCTGAAGTACATCCGGGCTGTTGCCGAAGACCGCTATGGGGACTTCCTGCGCACTGTCACCTACACGTCTGTCTCCGGATTCCTCTTCCTCCGCTTCCTCTGCCCTGCCATCCTGAACCCGAAGCTATTCGGGCTTTCACGCGACCATCCCCAGCCACGCGCTCAGCGGACTTTTACCCTCATCGCCAAGTCTTTACAGGCTCTTGCCAACCTCTCGAGTATCGGCAAAAAGGAGACTTGGATGGAGCCCATGAACCGGTTCTTGACAGCCCAAAGACAACCCTTCAAAGATTTCCTCGACGACGTATGCGCCATTCCAGCCGAGCGCACCAAGGGCTTGTTGCCACCGTCCTACTCAACGCCCACCACCATCATGGGCCGGTTGTCCCCAATGGCCCGCGAGGGGTTCCCTTCCCTCCCATATCTTATCGACCAGGGCCGATACTTCGCTGCCCTTGTCAAGCTCTGGTCGGACGCCCACTCAACATCTGCAAGGGAGTCCCAGGTTTACGACGGCGATCTGCTCACCTTCCACACCCTCTGCATCAGCCTCCACCAGCGGGCACTCGATTGCCTCGCCCGCATCGAAGCCCTGCGCGCCGTAGACTCGGGTAGCCTGCCTTCCGACGACCAAGCGACTCTTGTAGATACGATGGATCGCTTCAGTATCACCGATATGCTCGGCCACCCCACATCGGCCGGCGGTAACACGGCAGCCTGGCTTGAGCACGATGTGCGTGCGCCTGGTTCGTCTGGGAGTGATCTAGATGTCCCTAGTGGTCTTCCATTCGGTACCATTAGCATCAGCCGCGATGCACGGCACGGTAGTTTCAGCAGTCGCGAGTTGGGCTCCAGTTCTCTTCGACAAATGTCACGAAACACCGAGACAGCACCAGGTTTGCAAAGTCAAGAAAGCAACCCCAGCATTGGCTCCGGAAATGGGAACGGCGGTAGCAATGGCAATAGTGGGAACGGTGGGAGTGGGAATGGAGGCAATACCGGGACAGTGCGCAGCTTGCGGACCGGCATCCACCCTCGCAGACTCCTTGGGGGCCTGATGATGCGGAAGACACGCAACACATCGCCTGAGATTTCCACGGCACCCGGATTATTATTCATATCTGGACACATCGGTGACACGGAACGCGAGCGTGATCAGGGACATACGAAGGAGAATAGGGACTGGCATAAGACTAGGGAGAAGGATAAGGGTAAGGATGGAGATCGGGAGAGAGAGGGGGATCGAGAAAAGGAGAAGGATCGTGAACGTGAACGGGACAAAGATAGGGGACGCGACAAGCGCCCCGCAGGGTTGCCAGAACCAAGGCAGGTCGAAACGGTTGCGCGAGCACACTCGCATCAGCAGAAGCAGCAATAACAGTGACCACAGATAGGTGGGGTGTGAAAGCGAACCTGTGGTAATGTCCTGCGATCATCGGGTTCCCTCCCTGCCGGCCCGGTAGTTCATTTGACCGCATGTGTGTAGCATTTATACAGGAGCGAAGTAAACTGGACACTTTTTACAGTTACACGACCTGAATAAGGTTCACGTAAATTGGAGGATAGAAAGAGACTAGTCATCTTGATATATCTTCGGTCTTTGATCCGCTAAAAATCTCAGCCCGCTAGAAACTGGGAGACCCAGTCACAGCCCATGCAACACGTTGCTCTATACGCACGCGGGACTGGGTGGTCGGTCGGGTATACACTCGTACGTAAATCTTATCGTGACGTCGCCCGAGAAGCCCTTCTGTCCTCGAATCTCCCATTCAGTCTGCAAAGAACTTCTTGAAAGAAGCCTTCTCCTTGGCTAACCTCGCCGCAGCCACCGTCTTGACGGCGGCTAACTCGGCAGTGATAGCACTATCCTTAGGCTCCAGTTTCTTGGCCTGTTCAAGGCTCTCCACCGCGGCGTCCTCATCCTTGAGGCGCACTAGCGCATAGCCACGGCGGTATAGGGCCTTGGCCTTGTCCTTGTCCGAGATGCTCGAGATGGCCAAGGCGTTGTCAGCCGCCCGAACAGTGTCCTTCCACGCGCCAAGTTTCATGTTCATCAACGCCGCGTTGCTATTCAAGGTGATGCGCAAGGTCTCCAGCTGTTCCTTCGTGGTCGGCGGCTCGTTGTCCAGTTCGGGGTCCACGTCCAGATACCGCCGCCCCTTTTCGTACTTGTCGAGTGCCGCGTTGAAGTCACCGGCCTTGAAGGCGGCGTTGCCAAAACCTTTGCAGTTCGTGGCAATCTCGAGTACTTGGGCGGCAGAAAGCGGCTTGTCGTCTGCCGTTTGGTCATCGGGATAATCCTCGTACTCGTCACCGTACGCGTCAGGGGCCTTGGTGTCAGCGGCCTCTGCCTCATCCGCGGAAAGCTCGCCGCAATCCGCAATCACGGCATCCTTGACGGGCTTATCGCTCTGCGTCGGGAGATTCTCGATCTGGCGTATGATTGACTTGCCGCGAAGTACTTCGCCGAAAACAACGTGCTTGCCGTCGAGATGGGGAGTGGAGACGGTAGTGACGAAAAACTGGGAGCCGTTGGTGCCTGGAATCCAGCACAAAGGGTTGTTAGGAAACAATGTTGTGCTTTTTCAATACTCGTCCTCGTCAAAAAAATAAATGCCAGGGACAGAATACCTACCGGGGCCAGCATTAGCCATGGATAGAAGGAAGGGGCGTTCGTGTTTTAGCTCGAAGTTTTCGTCGTCGAACTTTGCGCCATAGATGGACTCGCCGCCGGTGCCATTCCCGGCAGTGAAATCACCGCCTTGGATCATGAACTGCTTGATGACCCGGTGGAAGCTCGAGCCCTTGTAATGCAAGGGCTTGCCGGCCTTGCCGATGCCCTTCTCACCAGTGCATAGAGCCCGGAAGTTGTCCGCCGTCTTAGGTACAACATCGTTGTACAGCTCGAATGTAACACGGCCCGCTGCCTTCCCGCCAATTGTAATGTCGAAGAAGACGCGGCTGCGAGCTTGCTTGTTCTCGGCGCTCATGGTGAACGGTGGGGTCGTGGTGTGTCTAGAATAGCAACTAGGATCTAGAAAACAATTGATCACGGCGTTAGTACTGGGGAAGGTAGAGGAGTCTCCAAAATGAAGGGGGAGAATGACATATCATAGCAAGGAGTCAACCCAGAGGGGAATGGAAAGAGCACAAACCTATCCCTTAGCCGCCGGTTGGGGTCGATTTGTTGTTTGCTGTCGCAGCTTTGGTCCAATTGGTGACAGGCCGTTTCTGGAGCTCGGTTGTTCAAAAATAGACGGCGTAAAGAAGAGAATCGACCAGAAGAGCACACAACTTTATCAATTGATTGGTCACCGGCACCAGCCCCCAAAACCTGTACTATGTCAGTGTGAGGCAGGGTCGCAGGGACGTTTCGTGAAGCTTCGATATGGTGGGGCAGTCGACTTGCATGAGGTGGGGCAATTCCCCGTCCGGGGTTCGCACCTTGGCTGGTCTGGGAAAGCGGTGAACGGGGAGACATGCAAGACGTGGTCTGGGATTCCTCAGAGCCTCGGAAAGTTCGTCACGTTCGCCGGCGTGATAAAAAGCTGAGAATTATGATGGGGAGGAAAGGTTGGGAGAAGGCGGGAAGGAGGAGTTGATCGCATCATCATAGCCACTCTCCGATAACTTGTCATGGCCGCATCAACGAAGTGCGAGTCTTCTGCCTAAGACCTCTCTTCTCGCAATGGTAACTCAGTGCCTTCGCTCTGGCTCTCTCCTGTGCCCTCCCCATCGGCTCGTCTACTCTAAAACCGAGAGAAAATCGAGCAAAAGTCCTGTTAACTTTCCTCGCTGGACCCTCGCTGCTCCTTTGTCTTCTTATCACCCTTGTCCCCTTTCTTCCTTTCCGGTGTTGGCCGTGCTGACATCTCCAGAGTGACCTAGTTGAGATAAAGTCAGTACCCCTATTGATTACGATGAAGCAGATCACAAGATGTCTAACCGGTCCATCGTTGACCAAAGCAACTTGCATCATGGCCTGGAACACCCCATTTTTAACCCGATCCGCCGAGTACCCGGCTTGCACTCTGCTGTAAAAGTAATCATATAGCCTTTTAGCTTCTTCTCCATTCATGGCACCATGGAAGTCTGGCTTATTTCCCTTTTTAGTTGAGGCAAGGAGCGTAAACTGGGAGACTAGTGACGGCCATAGTTAGGTAGGGTTGGCTCCGCGTTGCTAGGATTAGGTTGCGCGTCCTTACCACAGAGAACTTCTCCGCCGATATCCTGCACATTGTTTTTCCACTTTATTTTTTGAAATGTTAGATTAAGAATATGGTAGTATCCATGTAGGCGGAGTGTAGAGTGAAAGCCTCCTTACGCGGCCGCCCGATTCATCATCCCAGAGCTTAAGCTTCAAGACCTTGGCAGCCAAAGCTTCTGCTTCTTTCTCCGTGTCTCCTGGCGCCATGGCCGCGAGGACAAGGACGCCTTTGCCAATTTTGGAGACCACCTCCTGGTCCACGGTAACCGAGGCCGAAAGGACTCTTTGGAGTATGGCTGGGACTGTTGTATCAGAAAAATGTACAACCGCGCCCCTTCTCTCAAGAAGAAGAGCATCTTTGGTCGCGGGACTACCCACCTTTCATGGTAATTTTTTTTTTTTTTTGCTTTTGGGATATTTCACCTTACCCGCCACACAGAGCTGTTATTTCCAGGTTTCTAGGGGGTTCAAACAGGAGTGTTGTGAGGAGGAAAGCGACTAGTTGTTAGTAGATGTAGGTACTTAGGTACCTACATAGGGATGAAGCGCCGTCTTTGATGAAATTCAAGGGGACGGCCACACCTTTAACAAGAGGACCTATGTAGGACGCCTGATGAACGCGTTAAAAAATCAAGATGGAAGGCCCCTTATGATAGGAGGTGGTCTTCGAAATTGGGAACCAAACCTCAAAAGCCAGAAATGGATCCTTGGAAAGGAAAAGTGGGCCATCTCTAAGAGGGTTGTGGCATGCTGCCCTGAGCGTGCTCAACATTTAGCGCCTGACTGCCTGTGGAGAGGATCAAGTTCATCGCTTTCTCAAGAGTATATATGCCCTCCAGCACAGTAAAAAAAGACCACTGTAATCATCATTGAAATATGTTACTCAAGTGATACTAAATAGAAATGATCTTGAACTGAGCAGCGAAGAAATTGGGGGCTATGTTCCATGTTGTTTTGAGCTGCTTCACTTGAACCAGCCGAGCATCCCAGGTCCCTCGAACAGTGCCGCTAGGTAAGGGGCTCCTGCGCCAACACCTGTTACGCGCCAACGGCCAGGCCGCCCGCCGCCTGGCAGCCGCGTTGAACCGGGCCTTCCTGATCACCACCATTAACGACGGCCTGCAGCTAGGTTGTTTCAGCAACTTGGCACCATCAACCTCCGAACCCACAAACACAGGCGAACCTGACGAGTGCACCCGCTTGTTCGCCAGTTGAAAGCAAGCGCTTGACAGCTTGTTCAACACTCTATTTTCTCGGTTCTGCGATTTTATAAGGTCGGCGCCTCCCCCACCACTGACGTGGTGCGCTCTTCGATTTCTTGCAATTTGACTGGACAAGGATTGACATTGGATGTTCGCTTTGGACAGGGCCCCCTCTCCCACTCAACTCCTGCGCCGAAGTGCGAAAACATTAGTCGCTAGGGCATTCATCCCGAAGCTGCGCCGCCGAACGAGTGCCATCGGACGAGTCTTACCTGATCATCTCGAACTTCCCCCGCCTCTTGCCGCTTGCTACGGTTGACGGTGTCAACCTCCCACCCGACAGACGAGATGGCGGCACGAAAGCTACAACAAGAAGTCGACAAGTGCTTCAAGAAGGTGGCCGAGGGTGTTGCCGAGTTCGAGGCCATCTACGAGAAGATCGAGCAATCCACGAACCAGGCGCAAAAGGAAAAGCTTGAGGACCAACTCAAGCGGGAAATTAAGAAGCTGCAACGACTCCGTGATCAGATCAAGACATGGGCCGCCAGCAATGACATCAAAGACAAAGCCCCGCTCTTAGAGCAACGGCGATTGATAGAGACGGTTTGTATCCCGATTGGAGTCTCGCCGCTGCTATCGTGGTGTGTCTTGGACTGGCCAGCAATGACTTACATGGTTCAATAGCAAATGGAGAAGTTTAAGGCAGTCGAGAAAGCCATGAAGACCAAGGCATACTCAAAAGAGGGGTTATCCGCCGCCGCCAAGTTGGATCCTAGGGAGCAAGCCAAAGCGGACGCCGGCGAATTCCTTGGTAACATGGTTGACGAGCTGGAGCAACAGATCGAGACCCTCGAGGCCGAGAGTGAATCAATACAAGCGACGATGAAGAAGGGGAAGGGCCATGCTGCTAAGGCGGAGCGCATAGCTGAAATTGAACGCGTGATTGAACGTCATAAGTGGCACCAGGGAAAACTGGAATTAATCCGGCGTTCACTCGAGAACGGAGGGGTTGAAACCGAGCAGGTCAACGAGCTAGGTGAGAACATCAAGTACTACGTGGCCGAAGGTATGAACGACGACTTCATGGAGGACGAGACCATGTACGACGACCTCAACCTACAAGACGAGGAGGACCAGTATGGCATGAATCTGGACAACGACAAGGTGTCTTCTCAGGATACCCAATCGATACAAGACGACTTGGCGGCCCCCGAACTCGAACCGCCGAAAGCGAGTGTGCCTGTGGGGAAGCCGCGAAGTGCAGTGGAAGCGGTGGCGAGTTCGGCCGTCCGCCGACCGTCCGCACAGCTCAAATCCCCTCTCCCAACGCTCGCGACGGTACATACTACGCCATTACCGACCCTCAGCAATGGTTCTTCCACCATTGCAGGCATGAAGCCCGCAGCGGCACCGGTAAGGCTCGCAGGCGAAGGTTTGAAGTACGCCAGCGCAGCAGCGGCAGCGGCGAACAACGTGGGGATTGCTCCGTTACCACCCCCGCCTTCCACGACACCCGGTCTCGGCGGTGTGCCATTACCACCGCAAGCTAGAGCGGCGAGCGTGGCGAGCGCGGCCAACTCCCCAAGCGTCGCGTCTATACAGCCTGTATCACAAGACAAGGCGCCCGGGCCAGTGGCGGCCCCTGGGGGCGGGTCTGTGGCCGCGAACCAGTCGCACAAAGCTCCAGGGAAGGGTAAGGCGGCTGCTCAGGCACCAGCCCTGGCGCACACGGCCGTAGAAACTGCGGAAAGCTCGAGAGGTAGGTTTGAAGTCGCCCGGGGGGGGTCAGATATTGGTGTTGTTGCTGTTCGATGATGGGGCGCTAATGGTGAGACTTTGCAGCGTCACAAGCAAATGGTGCGGCCAATGATACTAAGTCGATTGAGGAGGCCGGAGAAGCGGAAGAGGAGGAGTCGATTTACCATCTCCCTGCATCCCTCCAGGACCTGGTCGAGTCATTCGAGGCGACAAAGAAGCGCCCCGCGCCGGTGAATGCGCAGGCGACCCATCGCATGCAGGCGGCATCAGAGACAAGCAAACCGGGGATTTTGGATGCGGAACCGCCACGGAACTACCATCCAGATGTCAAATTCCACTCTCACACCCGTTTCCCACAAGAGCCACTGTCCATATTCGACGACCCGCGGTTGTATACAAGGATCGACCCAGACACGCTTTTCTACGTGTTCTACTACAAGCAAGGCACATACCAACAGTATCTTGCGGCACGGGCCTTGAAGGACCAGAGCTGGAGATTTCATAAGCAGTACCAGACATGGTTTCAGAGGCATGAAGAACCTAAGTCCATCACGGAGGAATTTGAGCAGGGCACCTACCGCTTTTTCGATTATGAGAGCACATGGTAAGACTCTTCCCGCGTGTAGTGTGGCTGTCTAGGAGATGAGTGGGGGAGGAGAAAGTGGTCTTACGGGACAACTCGCTAACCCAAGACTGGCAGGATGAACCGACGTAAGGCTGACTTCAAGTTCGCTTACAAGTTCCTCGAGGATGAGGTTTAGGGGGCCGCCTCCGGGGGGCGAAGTGACACGCCGACGGCCGCTCACAGCCGCTACCCGCCTCAAGATGAGGTTGTGTAGCTCGGGCGACAAGCTGGCCGAATTCGGAAGCATTTCGAGGTAGGGCGGTCGCTGGCAGGGTGCGAATTACTAGTAATGTAAACAGCTGCGTATGGGATATGGTTCGGTATTATGTAGGGTGACAACCGCTTGTTTTTGGGGGTCATGGTGGGGAAGACGTTAACCAGGTTCAAGGGAGAGAGACCACCGCGTTACGCAAGGCTCATCGTCACTTCTCCCCGGTATGGCAATCCAGATTACGAGTCACTTGCAATGATTTTGCAACAACCTGCTGCCCCATCATGTTGCCAGTACACGTGTGAATCACGTTGGGGTTTTCAGTCTAACTGGACCTGGCACGCCACTTGCCCAGCCGGAGCCGCATCTTAATATGTCCCTTTCGCCCTTAATTCAGAGTTTGCCTCCATACAAACGTGCCACTTGTCCATGTCTTATTCCTCCAAGCACTTCACGAATGAAGGAGGCTTTTGTCTAGAACGGCAAAATCCTAGCGATCATCGCGGCATTTTAGTCCAAGCCAAGGCTCACGGAAGCACCAACGGGCAGCCTCCTCGTCCGCCTTGAGATTTTCCGCGAGAATTCCCGTACGCTTGGTTGGGGAATCCAAGCGCGAAGCGAGCGACCGGGGAGATGGGAGGGGATTCGGTGCCGGATCGAGAGACCGGGCCCCGAGCAGGTTAGGCCATGACACGGATTCGTACAGCCGTACGTGCAGTCGACTTAGGTTCGTTGCCACAGAGGAGCGGCCGCTTTCGTGTCACAACAGGAGGAGGCTCAGAAGCTCAGGAACGCCCACACAAAACATCCGAACAAACCCCACCGTTCAAATCGGCCGGAGCCTTGTCGCCTGCCTGAGACAAGGCGTTACCACCGCTAAAGTACGGAGGAGGAGGTCCTTGATTGAGTCCTTGAGGCTCTGCGGGCGCTTTTAGTAATCAATACTGCCCTTAGATCCTCAATCCCCGTCACCGTGGCGGTCAGTGCCGACGCAGACCTCCTCTCACCTTGCGAGCGAGTGAAGCTCCGAAGAGGCGCAGGCCAGGCGCAGCCACATGATCATGTGGTATCGCAGCAGCCATTTGTCGCGGCCCTTTCGCTTCCACTTATCCCCTCTTTCTGCGTCGGTGACAAGGTAAAAGGCATGGAACAAGGCGTCGGATGGCGTAGAGGGGCTGACGAATCATCGGAGGGAGTCCCGGCAGTTTTCCATTTCCCCGGTCCTGTCTGAGGGACAGATGGACACCGAGCAGCTGGGCACTGAATGTTGTCTCGTTCCATGTGAAGGCAGCTGCAAGGTGGCCGAGGTGGTGCCAAGAAGGCGGTGCCAAGAATATAGCGATTGGCTGAAGCGTTATGTGGGGCGCTCTCTTACCCCACCACCCAGCACAACGGCAGCAGGAAAGCACGACACCAGCCCGCGCGATTTTCTTTGGTAGGGCCATTCTCCAAACTCAGCCTCCCGCTTGGAAACTTCCATACCGAAGTTCTGTTTCAGAACGCTCGGAACCTCGCTAACCTTCCGAGCCTTTCCTGATTTCTGCCTCTCCTTCCCACGCATCGTCAGCCGCATGGGACGACCGGAATTTTCCCGTTTCCGCAACCGTGGCCTGCTTGCCTGCCGTGGCGCAACCCTGGTTTAAGCTCGGCCAGTGCTGTGGCACGAGATGCGGGGATAGGTCGAGGTTCCTGACATTCTCCAACCTGCAACCTTCCAAGTACCTACCCAAGGATCAATCAGGCCACCCATCAGGTTGTCCATGATCCGCGGTCGCCAACCACCTACAACGCGAAGAACCCAACATACCGTTGCACAGCACTTTGCGCCGCGGGCCCCCCCCCTCCCCCCGGCTTCTAATTCGTACGAGCAAGCGCAACAATTCTGGAGTTGACCAAATGGAAACCCCGCGCTTTCAAGCTTTGCCTTTCCATCCGCCCGTCCGTTCACCCGCATCTCCAAAAGTCCGCTGTTGGTTCAATTGGTCCAATTGTTGGTTGTTGAATCGTTGACGTTGGGGACTCTTGCCCACCGCTCCATGCGGTTGGTTGATGATCATTCCGCGAGGCTGCGCCTTACAATCTTCCCGCGATGAGCTGTCGCGGGCAAGGCGGGTTAACGGAGACAGATGCAGATGCACGGTTCCCGAGTTAGAGGAGCCTGTTGGTCAAAGTTAACCGAGTTACGGGTTGATGATGAGAGTTGATGTTTTAGAACCCCCTTGCCCATTCGACGCTCCTCGAGCCGTAAATTGTAGGGGCATGTATCGATGATTTGTCGGCCTCACCCTTTACCAACATACAGACGCATGCCCTCCCTCATTCTGTCGCTTGACATGCAGGCGGCGAAACCTTTCTTACATGGCCATCAGTTTAAACCGTCGAGAAGTGAAAGGTTGCACTGATCCTTGCAATCGAGGCTCTTTTGAGTCCCTCGTAGGACACCGTGGCACGCACAAAAGAGGCGTATCAAAGGTTCGGGATCTCTCTCTCGCCCCCTTTCTCGCATTCGGCTTCAGCAGAGGTCCCGCGGCGTCTTTCCTCCTTCTCGAGCGACGCGGCACGCCCTGCCAAGACTGACACTAGAGGAAACACCACCGAAGGCGTGCGTGGTAACCCGTCCTCAAAAGACGTACCTTTTTACAAACCAAGCGGTCGTTAGCCAGTCAGCTACCCCTTTTGAGAGCCGCATACCCTCATCTTCTATTGCCCCAGCTCGGTAGTCGGTTGCTCCTTTGGCCGCCGTGGAGGTACGGGTGCCCAGTTCATGCCAGTCCGCTCGGGACGCTGTGTTTCCCGTCGCATTACTTCTTCATCTGACTCTTTTCCCCCACCGAGCGACCTGCGAGCTCACCCTCTCGGGAGATCCCCAATGCTCTTCTGACTGAGTCTCCTTCCTCTGCCCCCCACATATCAGCCTGGATAATCACCTCCTTCCGGTCCGATCTGTCCCACCATTTCCCCCAAGCCTTGCCGACGATCGGGGTGGCTGTGGTGGTCGCGTTTTCACAGCCATGCCACATCGGTCTCGTGATCCCCCCATAAGGAAGAGCAGGAGACAACGGCTGGGATGAGGATGCGGATCGGGAGAGGTTGCCGGGCCCTTACCATTTTGTTTGCCCGGTCTTTTGCGCGAGATACCGGCCTGTACCTTTCGGCTTAGGTAGCCGGGGCCGTTTGCGTGCATGCGTGCTGATATCGGAGAGATTGATTCAATGGTGAAACGGCCTTCTCCTTGCTAGGTTATCGACTGGATCGCGGATTAGGCGTTTTTTCCCCCTTCCTTGTTATGTCCTAGTTGCTGCAACCTTTCTGACATCTTCCTTTGGCTTGCCGCGAGTGCATACATTGCCTATTTCGGTCACCTAAGGTACCCCCCTCCGCTTCCAGGTCCTGCTGCTCGCCTTACCGACGATGAGGGTGAGCTGGGCAATGAATGTGTTGTTCCGCCTCACTCTCTGCACGGCAACTAAACTAGGATATCCGTGTTGGCTGCAGAGATACCTAGGTACGTAGCTAGGTAGCTAAGAGGGACAGCACATCACCGATCATCCGTCTATCCAGCTACCCACTTGCACTGCGCGCCCTGCATATTTACCTCCAGGCCGTCCTCCCATGATTGCCTGGTTTCCTTCGTCCCCCCTCTTCGCCTCTCCCGCTATCTATCTCTCACAACTCCCGTGTATACCTTAAATCCAAGTTTTTGCTTGTCACCCATAATTCGTTACTCTATTTGGTTTTCGCCTTTGTTGCCGTTTCGAAAACTCCCTTCACCCACCATCACCATTTCTGTGTCATTCTCGCCCCTCGCCTGCCCCCAACCTCCCCAGCCAGGTAGCCTACGAGCACGACCCGGGGTCGAGGCTCATCCGGCCTGTCTTTCACACCACCGAGACGTAGGTTTGATGGAACGATACCTAGATCCACCCTACCACTCCGCCCCCGGAGGGCTCCCAGGCCAAGATGACCCATGGGACCGCTCTGCCGGCATGGAAAGAAGCGACTCGCAGTCCAGCAGTTGCACCGTCGGCAGTAGCTATACTATCAGTACAGGCCTTTCGGCCTACTCGACTTACTCGGGCTACACCTCGGCCACGGACTCCTCGCCCCTCGAGTTGCCCGTCTGCGACGATGGCACCTACGAGAAGACCGCGTCGTCGTCGTCGTACCCGGATCCATCCACCTATTACGAACATGCCGATGCCAATCATGTATTGTCGGCTACCGGGTCGCAGTATCAGTACAGCTCCCTCCAGAACTCACAGGCGCTGCAGCTCTCGACGCCCTTTCATCCCCTCGGCACACAAGAAGGCAACGAGGAGGCGGCCTGGCAGGCTACTTTAACCGCAACCTCCTTGATCATCGACAGGCGAGCTTTCGAGGACGACGGGCCAGCCGGTATCACCTCGGTAGTTGTTGAGGCCTCAGTACAACGATTCCTAGCCTACAACATTGAAGAACCTGTTCGACCAGCGATCCAAGAAGTTTTGTATCAACAGCTGCGTCCTTTGTTTAATAACCGTGACTATCACCACCTCAGCATCATCCGACTTTTGGAGGAGGCTGCCTACCAACTCCAGATACGGCTCCAGGATCCCAAAGTTTTGGATGTCTCCTTTTGGGCGATCGCCACTGTCCTCCACAGGCTGTCTAGGGAGGAATTGGAAGAACATGATGGCCACGACGCCATCCAGAACCGGAAAAGCAGCGATGCCATCCCCCACAGCAACGACGGCTGGAATATCATTGATTTGAGTGTGTCACGGGATCACCTTGCAACCCCTGATGCAACCCAGGCCCAGTAAGCCGGTCACGTCTTTGTCATTTTGGTTTCTGAACGGTTCTCACCCTCGAGTTTTTACTTCGGTCCCTATCCATCCCCTCTACCCGCTCTTTTGCCCCCCTAACCTCCCCTCAAACTACATCATTAACTCGCCACTAACTATTCCTCTTCTCCCACTCCTCTCAGACCCTCTCTGTCATCGTCCCCCAACGAAAAAGAAAAATTCCCCTGCCCCATCCCAGGCTGTCTCAAGGTCGCTAGCCGGCTTGCCGATGTCGACCGCCACGTTCGTATGACCCATGTCGCCGAGGCTGAGCGCAAGAAGTATTTCTGCGACTACAAGAGGTGTGCGAGGCACACGGATCCCTTCTTTCGCCCAGACCATTTTCGAGATCACCTGCGCGGGTTCCACATGGAGGATCTGCTCAAGCGCAGCGTTCGGGTGGATCGCAGGTGGTGGGCCACACGCGCCATGATGGAGTGGTGGTGGCGGTGCAATCGATGCTTTATGAGGGTGGTGTCAGAGGAGAGTGGGTATGTGTGCTCAGGATGTGGGAATGCGTGCGAGAAGGAGAGGCAGATACGCCGGGCACGCCTGACGAGCCGATCATGAGGCCGAGATCGACGTTGGGTATCAAGGAGCATGACAGCAGCCCCAGCAGCACCTAGGCAACATCAACGCCTCGCCGATATCATGGCGCGATGCATCCTCTCCTCGGTCCCACTAATGGGTCCAGTATCACCCATTCTCGTTTCGCTCTCTTCTCTCGGCGCCTGGTTTTGTGTTCAACCAATCACATCACCCATAGCTCGCCATATCTCGGTTCATTTGGGTGTCGCCCCTTTCTTTTCGATTTTCTGATTTATACTCTCTTGTGCTTGATTTCTTCTTCTTTTTTCTAGGGCTCACATGGACTCCCCAAGCGCGAGGCAACCGCCAGCTGATGAGCAAACCAAAGAACGGCAACGTCTGCTGTCTGGCTGTCTCCCAGGGATGCCATGGGAGAAGCTCGTCCGGTATATCTCTGACCTCTTTTTGTTTTCTTTGTCTTTTTCCTCCGCTATTGCAAGATCATTATACGCGGCATCACAGCACCGGCCCTGAATTCGCACGACGACACGGCCGGGAATTATGGCAGAAACGAAAACTTTGTTCATTTTATTTTATTTTCTATATTCTTCCTTTTGTCACTCGCTCTCAACCTCCTGTTGTCTTCTTTTCCTATTATCTCCCGAGGGCTCGCCTGTCCAGCAAGTGCGTGAGACAAGCTGTCAGCTCCTCGAAAACCACGCTTTTTATCAGCGGGAGACGGTCGGTATATTGCTCGCTGGCTGGCTACAACAGAACAGTGCCGCTTGGAAATCCCCCGTTCTCCTGCTTGGCCTTTCGTGGCCTAATTTCAGCCGCTCGCTTGGGCGGCTGTGTATTAACGTTGTACGTTCTCCGGAGACAAACGATGTACGTCCGAGCAAGGGATAAACAGAGACGGGATTGGACGTCATTGGGTTTAAAACATAGGGTTTAGTCCGCCTGGGCGGAACCAAAGCAGAGTCGCGCTGCCGCAAGAAGTATTGGATCTCCCGTTGTGGATGCGGGCTGCTTTGGGGGGGTTTAATCGAACGTTTTGGTGGCGGTAGCAGTGACGCGGCTGAGAGAAGTCCCGCTTGGTATGGATAGAATGATGATTCACGATGATGATGATAATGATGATACAAATGTATATCACGGGTTAGGCTACTAGTACTACTAATAAACGAGAGGGCGAGCTGGCATCGCATGGACGGACTTGAAAGGGCCGGGACAGAGGGACAACGAATTGAATCCCGATATGGATATAGTTACACGTACGATAACAACCGTGTGCGAAGTACGAATACTCGATCTGACATCTTTTCTTGGTGACTGTTGAACCTATTCAATTCCGGGCTGGCGAGTGGTTTTATATCCGGCGATATCCGCATCTTATCGCCGCCGGCTCGGCCCCTGGATGTTTCGGATGAGCTATTTTCCAGATGACCCCGCAATCTGCAACCTCCCCCACGAGCACTGGCACGGTCCTTCAAGACCCTCATGCCCCGCTTCGCTGGAAAAGTTTTGCCCCTTCTCCCATTCCGTCAACGCTGCACTTGCTCCGTCAAATCAGTTTCCATTCTGCCGATCACCTGGATCTGTGCTGCGAGCATGAAAGCGGCCAGAATGACGCACTGACACTGCAAAACGTGTGATAGGACGAATAGAAAGGCCCAATTGAGGCCCCTGCATGTTGCTCGAGAGCACGGGACGGACTGAAGGATGAGACGGGTGCGCCAAAGCCAACACATGTTGGACATGGGATTGTGTGCCTGAATTGTGTGTCTGTATATTAAGGTATCTCCCTCACGACCCTCTCCCTCCAAGTGGATCTTTCTTCACTTCGCTCCACCAGCCCCGGACGCCGAGCGAGCTGACATACAATCGTTAAAGAGGGCTCTCCATTTTTTCTCTCACAGCGGGGACCCCACCAAGCGATTTCGGCGGTTTGGTTGTGCGATCCTGGCTCTTCTGGACAGTCATAGCCACAGACAAATCTTGATACATTAATCCGCAATTGTACCAACAAACGGCTTGCTCCGGCTTTCTCCAACTTCTCAGGTTCCCCAGCTTCTATCGTCTTAGGTGAAGTTGCCGCGGCCCGCCTGCACTACACGCATCCACCACACTCTCACACCCAATCAACAGCTCCCCTGGCCCGACTGCATACTTACTTCCTCGGCTTCTACTCCCCGCCGACTCCTCGACGGACCTGCTGTATTCGGCGGCCCGACCCGGCGTGTTTCGACGGTCCCGGCTCCGTAGCCAGATCCCCGCGTTTGCACTACCCTTTCTCCCCCGCACCTTCTCTCCCCCTCTTGTCCCTTCCTCCTTTTCCACCATGTCGTCCGCATCTACCGCAGCCTTCCGTGCTTCCCTCCTCCGCACATCAACTTGGTCTCGCGCCGTCTCTAGCCCGGCCTCTACCAGCAGTTTACGCCCGGCTCTCACGGTACCCCGCGCCACTCCCGTCTTCCTCTATTCCCAGCTTAACCGGCGCACCATGGCCACGGACGCCCCTGCCAAGATCAAGGTCAAGAACCCCGTTGTCGAGCTCGACGGTGACGAGATGACACGGGTGATCTGGAAGGATATCAAGGACAAGTTTATCTTCCCGTATCTCGATGTTGACCTCAAGTACTACGACCTCGGGCTCGAGTACCGCGACGAGACCAGCGACAAGGTTACACTGGATGCCGCGGAAGCGATCAAGAAGTACTCCGTTGGTGTGAAGTGCGCAACCATCACACCTGACGAGGCTCGTGTGAAGGAGTTCAACCTTAAGCAGAGTATGTGTCAACCTCTCCGCGTGGATTACATGAGAATTTGCTTGTTCTGTACTTGGCGGGCTTGCTTGATTATTTCGTGGGACAGTTATGGCTGACTGACACCTTTCTGTTTCTCCTACATACAGTGTGGCTCTCACCCAACGGTACGATCCGCAATGCTCTTGGCGGCACTGTCTTCCGCGAGCCGATTGTCATCCCCCGCGTTCCACGCCTGGTCCCTGGGTGGAAGAAGCCCATCATCATTGGCCGCCATGCCTTTGGTGACCAGTACCGGGCCAAGGATTTGGTTGTCCCCGGCCCCGGCAAGCTCAGCATGGTCTATACTCCGACCGGCGGCGAGCCGCAGGAGATCGAGGTGTTCCAGTTCAAGAACGGCGGCGGCGTTTCCCAAACCCAGTACAATACCGACGAGAGCATCGTGGGCTTTGCTCATGCTAGCTTCAAGCTCGCCATCACCAAGGGCCTCCCCCTGTACATGAGCACCAAGAACACCATTCTCAAGAAGTACGATGGACGCTTCAAGGACATCTTCCAAGACCTCTATGACACCACCTACAAGGCCGAGTTTGAGGCCAAGGGTATATGGTACGAGCATCGCCTGATTGACGACATGGTTGCTCAAATGATCAAGAGCAGTGGTGGCTACATTATGGCGTTGAAGAGTGAGTCTTGAAGCGATATAACATGGGCTATCGTACAACACGGCCAGTCAGACTAACTCACATTCACCCTATAGACTACGACGGCGACGTCCAATCCGACATCGTCGCCCAGGGCTTCGGCTCGCTCGGCCTGATGACCTCGGTTCTTATCACCCCCGACGGCAAGACCTTCGAGTCCGAGGCCGCCCACGGCACCGTCACCCGCCACTACCGCGAGCACCAAAAGGGCCGCGAGACCTCTACCAACCCGATCGCTTCCATCTTCGCCTGGACTCGCGGCCTAATCCAGCGCGGGAAGCTCGACGAGACCCCTGAAGTTGTTGCTTACGCTGAAAGCCTCGAACGCGCTTGCATCGACACGGTTGACATCGATGGCATCATGACCAAGGACTTGGCGCTGGCGTGCGGCAAGACAGCCCGCGAGGACTATGTCACTACTGGCGAGTACCTGAACGCGGTCGAGAGGAGGTTGAAGCAGAGCTTGAAGGAGAAGCTTTAAACGATAAGCCCTCTGGGTGTAAGAGGATCTTGCGTTTCTGGTTTTTTTTTCTCTAAGGGCGAGTTCTGGATGAGGCACACGGCACCGCTCTGTCGGATGCTTTTGTTGTTTCGAGGCGCCCGCTTATCACAAGCTAGGGATATCATTGCTTGACCTTTGGATGATGATGTATGAGTTTTTGTCACGCTTGTTAGTGTACATTAGCCGCCAGCTAGCGCCTCGCTGTACATATTTTTTTCGTTGGGGCGTTTCGGCCGCGTGGATATCCTGTTGTTGTAGGTATACCCGTTCCGACATGGTTGAAGATAGTTGATGACATGCTGGTGTTTGCTTTAAGTCTCAGGGAATAGTGTAAAATTCAAGCTATGGACCTCGCCAGTCGTGGAACTAGCCCACAGATCTCCCTCCAGTCGATGGATGCAACGAAGTTTGACCCCGTTTAAGAACTGACCAACCCTACATGAAACCGTTCTATAGCAATTGATACTGGTACAAAGCTAATACAAAGCCGGCAAGAGATAGAGAACACAGCCGCAAAAGAGATGACGATCTGAAAAAGAGAAGGGAAGAAAACGCCTCATCCATGCTAGCTATCCCATCCATCCGTCCATCCATCCGTCCATCCCTCTCGAATTGCGCTTTGCCGCCCATACCCGAAGGAAAAAACGAGAATGGTTTCGGTTAAGAGATACCCGATATACTCCCCCTCCCCTCTCCAATATTACTGGCCACCAGAGTAGAATAAGGGCCATAGTTTCCCACGAAGATTGGAGTGGCAGAACTGGGATATTCAGGAGTGAATCCCAGGCGTCGATCCGTGGGCCGTTATAATAATGACTGAGTTCCTCCCCATGACGAGCCTAGTCCGACTGAGCAAAGACAAAAGACGAAATGCACCGCCGTAAAACAAACGGGCGTGGAAGTCAATCAATCATCCTCAAACCTCCCACCCCAAGATCCACCCCCTTCACTCTTCCTTCCCGAGCCCTTGGCTGATGAGCTCCGTTCCCTCGGCGAAGCATGCTTGTTGAGTCTTGAGGGATCGCTCTTCCTCGGAACACCTTTGGCTGCTGCGCTAGGCGTCCTCTCAACACTCCCGCTACCTTCGCTCTTACGCTTCTTCTTCGTCGGCCGACTCGAGCCCCCCTTGGGCCGATACCCCGGGTCGTCGTCCACCATGCGCTTGCGTTTACCCTTTCCGCCGGCGGCGCTGGGCGTAGAGGCGGTTTCTCTGCCTCCGCCGCCGCCACCACCACCCCCACTGTAGCCCGCCTCATCGTCCATGTCGTCGAAGCTCTCCGTGTTGGCCGCGACTCGGCTGGTGCGCTTGGCGCGGGCAGAACTAGAACCGCCGCCGCCGCGAGACCCGCGCTCGCCTTTCCCGCCACGACGGCCGGAACCGGCGCCGTGGCCGTGGCCGTTGTGTGAGGCGTCGCCGTCGTCTTTGCCGCCGCTGCCGTCTTTGGTGTCGTGCTCGCCGTCTTGGAGGAAGGTTTTAGGGGCGTGCTTACGCAGCCAGTTGTAGACTGAGGTCGGGTTGCGCACGGCGAGGTCGCGGTGAGAGTCCTTGGGGTTGGTGGGCGCGTCGAGGTGCGCGAGAGGGGCGAGAGTGGGCAGCGGGGGTTCTGATGGTTTATTGTTGCTGCTGTTTCCTAAGGCTGCGGCCGCCGCGGCCTCTTCGTTAGCCAAGTGTGCGTCGAGTTCCCAAATGTAGTTGTCGATGTCGTCGGCCGTTAGGAAGGAAGGGGGATGGTTTTGGCCCTGGGCAGGGTCGGCGGGTGAGTCGCGGCCAGCGTCTAGGTCAGCGAGTAGGTCGGGGAAACGCTCGGCAGCCGAGGAGAACCGAAAATGTGGCACTTCCTGTAGAAGACTCTTGTAGGACTTGTCTGGTACCGCGCCGGCTTGGGGTGATGTTGGTCGGTCGATGTCCAAGAAGAGGGTGCTGTCGATGTCGGCGGAAGAGTCTAGGGAGAGATCGATGCGCTTGTTGGGGGGGATCTGGCCGCAATTGTTGACATCGAGAAGCAGGTCGAGGAGTCGACTACAACCAACAAGGGTTAACACATAACAATTCTGGGATGTCAAAAGGCGAAGTGGATGAATGGGTGATACATGACGAGATGTAATAACAAAAATTACATACTCTTTTTGCACCGCCAGCCTCTTGGCCGCGGAAAGGGCCTTTTGTTCGAGCCTGTGAAGCTCTTCACCATCGTGCATCTTTTGGTCAAAGGTGATGCGCATCTTGCGGTACTTCTTCTTCCAGGACCGGTACGTGGGCTTGTCATCGGCCATTCTGGCATCGCCAGAGTCATCCTCGGCCTTGACCTTGAGGTCAAGCCTGCTTCGCCCGGTGGCTTCCATGGCGATGGCTCTTTGCAGCGTGTCGTGTCGCGTTCAATTGATTAAGTGTGGTGATGAATCTGCGGTCGTTGGTGTGTGGGATGACTCAGGTTGGAGTGAAAATTTGCGAAAGCGTTTGAAATGGGCCACCGGGGGCATGTGCTGCCTAAGTTGAGATTCCTAATGCGTAGTGAGGGCGAGAGAGGCTGATGGGTTGCATTGTTCAATGTGTTGGAACTCGCGGGCGCGCCGAGCCACCCCTGCTGCCGAGTTGATTCCAGTGGTATTCTGTTGCGCGAAACATTGTCACTCTGGACGGGAGAAGGAATACGAAATCTTACCTGACCCAGCTCGCCCTTGTGCGTGTTCCATGCTACCAGCCCCACATTTGAGACAGCCAATACAGCCACTGAGGTAATAATTCCTGTAACTTACCTAGCTCACCAACAGAGAAGTTTCCAATTCGAGAAATTTAGCAGTCCACCCATGTTTGATCCCCGTCGACTGTCCGGATCCGTCGAGCTCACTGCAACGGAACTCCCCGCCCTACCAGAAAACACTCGATGCTCCGTGTTCTTGGTATTAACCTCGCGGGAAACATAGCAAAAATGGCGGAAAACGCAGCCAAGCGACTCAAGACCGATAACGGCGCCGCCGTCGCCATTGGCACCCACAACGGCCACTTCCACGCCGACGAGGCCTTGGCTGTCTACATGCTGCGCACGCACATCCCAACCTACGCCGGCGCCCGCCTAGTCCGCACGCGCGATGCTAACCTCCTCGAGACCTGTCACACCGTTGTTGACGTCGGTGGCGAGTATGAACCCGCCCGCAATCGCTTCGACCACCACCAGCGCACCTTCTCAACCACCTTCCCCGACCGCCCGACCAAGCTGAGTAGCGCGGGGTTGGTGTACCTGCACTTTGGCAAGGCGATCATCGCGCGGCGCATGGCCCAGGCCGAGGACAGCGAGACCGTGTCGCTGGTGTGGCGGAAGATTTACGAAAATTTCGTCGAAGCGCTTGACGCACACGACAACGGCATCTCCTCCTACGACCCGGCACTGCTGGCCGCCGCCGGCGCGGAAAAGCGGTTCTCCAACGGCGCCTTCACGCTGGGGGCCATGGTCGGCCGCTTCAACGGGTACTGGAACGACCCCGTCATTGAGGACCCCGTGGCCGCGCAGGCCGCTGAGGACCAGCGGTTCGAGCTCGCTAGCCAGCGTATCGGTGAGGAGTTTGACCGCGGTCTGGACTTTTTTACTCGGGCTTGGCTGCCCGCGCGGGAAGTGGTGGCCGAGGCCTTCAACGAGCGTCAGGAATACGACAGTGAAGGCCGCATTCTGGTGCTGAAGAAACAGTCCGCACCGTGGAAAGATCACCTCTATACCTTGGAAGAGGAGAAGGGCGAGGAGGGCAAGGTGCTGTACGTCTTGTACCCGGAGAAGCCCGTCCCCGGCGCCAAGTGGAGGATTCAGTGTGTGCCTAGCGCTGGAGACTCCTTTGAGAGCAGGAAGCCGCTGCCCGAGGCATGGAGGGGTTCCCGCGACGAGGAGTTGGATGGCATTACAGGAGTGGAGGGTGGTGTGTTTGTACACGCCTCGGGTTTCATCGGTGGTAACAAGACATTTGAGGGTGCGCTCGCCATGGCCAAGAAGGCGCTCAAGATTTGAGCGAGTGAGGGAGAGCGCAAGGGGGTTTTACAGTTGCGATAAATGGCGCATGGCTGTTGGCTCAAGTGCCGCTGTCCCGAAGGAACCGAGGTGCCACTCTTGCTGCCCAAGCGGGTCGGTTTTGATGCGCAGGCTTGCATTGGGTTGGCATTCCAGATGCCGAGATCAACAAGCCAGACATTTGAGTCAACAGAGAGAGGTGGGGCGGAAACATCCAGACTCCCCCATTGCAAGAGCTGGCACAAGTGGCTTTGTCTACCTAAGCCAGACCAAGATGGGTAAAATGGAATTCATACACTCCATACACTTGCTACTAGCTTGAGGAACATACGCCTGGTACAAACAAAACATGGGGGAGGGAAAAACAAGGACAAATAAAACCCGTTTGTGGTCATATCGCTCCCTCCAAATCGCATTGTTTCCTGACACTCGCGTCGTCTGTGTGCCACCGTTTTCCTCCGTCCCAGTTATCAGCCTCAGGCCCCCATAGCTCTTCCGGGTCACCGCTCCCCCTATCGAATGAGGGAATCCCGGACAACAGCGTGCCGTTGTGGAGAGAGCGGTAGATGACCCTCGATGGTTGGGATAAGTGCCAAAACATATTCGCAGACCCCCTCTGCATTGTAGGGGGGTTGGCACGGGAGAAAGTCAGCGCATAGCATGACCCGGAAACTTATGACTGACCCTCCTGGTTGTCATTTTGACCTCAAAAATGAATCCGTCCTAAACCCAGCCCAACTCCGCCGTTCCTTTCTTGTTTCATATGGCCTCGTACTCGGTGGTTTTGAATTTTGTGTTCTTTTTTGATCCTTGGTCAAACTGACCCGTTTCGTTGGTGTCGGAAACTTACAAGCGTGCAGTACATATCGTAGCAATGGAAAACGTGGTAAGAATAGGCCTGCTTGTCCAGCACGAAATAGCGTTTTCCGGGGAAATGCATCGCATCGGACCGCAAAGCAGTGCAGAGTGACGTAACGCAAAACTGGTGCATGTCTCCTTGCTTATCAGCCTCGCACAGCTCACCGCCGAACCGGGAGCTCCGCCTTCTCGCCGGTCGCCACTTGAGACGGCACCGTCTCCTCAGATGTGGTATTAGCGGCACCTTGCTCTTTCTGCTGTGGCTGTTGCTCTTGTTTTTGCTCCTCCGAGGCGGCTGCACCACCGCCCTCGACATCCTCCGCGCTTGTCTCACGGTTGAGGAAACTGCTTTCCTTTACTGGGCTGCCGGCTTGCAAGCCTGGGTGGTGCTGAACCTGGTGCTGGTGGTGAGGGTGTAGTGAACTATTTCCCAGGCCGTTGGGCCCGCTGACGGGGCTCGAAAGGTGCGGGATGTTCTCGGGGACGGGGTGTTGGCTGCCGACGGCGCCGGTGTCGACGCTGTCACCCTTGCCAGCTTTGCTCATGGCATAGTCGCCGCTGTCGAAGTACTTGCGCTCTTTGAGATGCTTGGCGAAGTGGTCGCTGCGGTTGGGGAGCTTGCCGTACAAGCGGAAAAGTCGCTGCTCCTCGGGGGAGAGGGACTGTTTGGGAGGGCAGAGGGTGTCAGTAAAAGAATGAACTCGAGGAGGGACCTGTCGAGCGCGATTGCGGCGTTGTCGTGGAAAATGATGAATGTAAATCGCGGCGCTCACCTTGATATCCACCTTCTTCGCCTGGTGGGGGTTCATGGTTACGGCGTGCAAGAGGGGCTACGGCCCAAATCGATCGGTCGATGGCCCGTCAATGAAACCCTCTTGTCGCCGAGTTGTAGACCTAGGTAGATGGAACTGTTGAATGGAAAACGTAGAAGTGGCTGTGTTGGAAGTAAAATCGCTGGGGCCGCCGTTTTGGTTGTCAAAGCGAGTATAGAAAGTTCGTCGCCTGACCCGTTGTGAGGGGCAGACCTCCAGTTCGCAGGGCGTGGAAGTGGGATGGCCCAAATGGGTGCGCTGCGTTTGCAAGTGGAAAGTGGAGTTTCGTCACAGCGGGCCGCTGAACCTGGCTGGTTGCAGTAGGTCTCTACCTAACGTTAACCCGCTCGGTTTGGTAGAGGCGCCTTTCAAAAACAGCTCGTTTTAGGTCTGAGTATGTTGCAGATTGAAACAAAACTTGGGGGGAATTGAGAGAAACCGACTGAAGATCATTTGATATTTTTTTTTGTTTCATTCCCTGAGAAACAACCGGTTGTTGCGCCGTTTCTAGGGACTTGTTTAGAAATTCATGCGTTGCTTCGGACCCTGTCGGCTTGCCTTGGTGTTAGAGTGGGACTTGATTGAGTCTCGGCTTGAGCAACATCCGCTCGGACCAGCTCCTGGTCCTTGCTCCCCCCCTAAAACCCGAGTCCAAGTCTAGAAGCTCGGCAGCCCAAGCATCCATGGATTGCATCGCGTGGATTGCAACGCGATCCTCCATCCCTCTCTCGCTGCCCTCGCAGTTTCCAACCCTCGTAGCGAGTTGACGATGTTCTGCATCACTCCTCAAGATTATGAACACGCTAACACGTTATCATGGAAGTATCTGGCTGTGCCGTCCGCAGCCTTCGTCAGCACCAGTTGAACACGATGAAGTTGCCTGGCTACTCTCATTATCTTACACACTTCGAAAAGACACTAGGCAAAAGCATGAAGTAAGTCCTGGTCTAACGTTGGAAGAAGCTTAAGGAAGAAATTAAATTAAATGCAACGCGAAAAGGGACCCTTAAGTTATGTGCAACCAGCCCCCCTACAAACTCCAAGCCAAATGCAAATCTGGGCAAATCACCGCCGCCGGCATCGCGTAGTCTGCGGTCTATCCCTCGCCAGAAAAGCTCGCGCATGAAATAAGCCCGCCTCCCCCCTTCTCTTACCCTCCATTAACTCCCTTTCCCCGATGTCTACCCGCCCTGCTGCTTAGTGATAGCCCCCACCGTTCGGCAGTGCCAGCAGCGCAAACAACCCACCCACCACAGGCCGCGCCACAAACGTCGGACCCCCATCCGGGTATCCGCCCGTCTGGGAGTCGTACAGATCGCTCATTGCGCGGTTCGTGCCCGTGGCACCGATCCAGTGGGCAATCTTGGAGATGAACATGTCCCGGGTCTCGGGGGAGGCGACGGCAGCTGCAAACATTTCCCAGTCGCTCTTGGTCCAGGAGTGGCGGGTGTCGAGCGGGACGCCGTACTCGTTGGCAATGGTGGGGTAGAAGTTGGACTGCATTTCGTAGATGTCCTGGGGGATGAAGTTGAGGTTGAGGAGTTTGTCGGCGTAGATGTTGTAGAGGATGCCTAGTGTAGAAAGGCGCCGGGTTAGTTGTTGACTCCTTTTTACGAGAGGAGATATGAGAGATACTGGGCCAGTAGGAGGGGTCACTCACCGTGGGTGTCACTTTGACCATAGCTCAAGGTGGTGTGCGGGGGCTTCGCCTGGGTGTTGATGGCGTAACCCCTCCAGCCCTCAAGGTACTTGTCCGCCGTCGCGCCAAACGTGTCTTCATTGTTGGTTAGTTTGGCAATCTCCGACATGGCTTTGAGCCCGATGATGCCCTTGATGGCGAGGTTGGTCTGGTTACTATTTACACAACACTGGTTAGCGTTGTGGGCAACGGGCTGAAGGGGAACGAGAAGATAGTAAGATAACTCACGCTAGAGTGCCAGCAAAATCATCGGTGCTGAGCTGGTTTGCCGGAACCAACGACTCGTCAACCAAGAACTTGGCCCACTTTGAGAGAATGGGATAATGCGCCTTCAGGTACGCATTGTCTTTGGTGCGTTGGGCATACGCCAGTGTCATGATGATCATATTGCCACACTCCTCCAGGGGCATCGCCTCGTCTTTTCCATCTGGGTAACCCTTGGCCACGGGGAACGTTCCTAGGTCGTGTTCGGCATAGTCATTGGGGTACACACCGCTCTCCTGGTTCTCAAACAACGGGTCAAGAAGGTACTTGCCCAGGGTCGCGTTGAGGTACAAGAAGATCGGGTATGCGGGGAAGATGACATCGACAGTTTGAATATCGCTGTTTGAGCTGATCTCCTTGAGAAATATGTACGGCTTCCCCGACGTACCAGCATACTGGAGGCTGGCAAATGCCTGGCGCACGGCCAGAGTGGTGATGAGTGCGTAGTCGGCACCCGCCGCAGCCTCGGAGTCGGTTCGGACCTGGTCGTCGAGGGCCGAGGATACATCGTTGGCATGCTGGTAATCATGGTAGAAGCTAACAACCGCCGTGACATCGTCGTCATAGTAGGACGACCAGAGGCCCGGAACGGGGGCTAGCTGACCACTTTCACCTGCAAAGTTGATAACTTGGTCCTGGACTAGGCCGAGAGTGAAGACCCGTTCCACGTCATTGTTCTGAACATCGCCCAGGTCGTGAGAGAAGGCAAACACAGGCCTTTAGGAGTAGTAGATCAGCCACCCATCCAAGACCTTCACAGTGAACTAAAATGAGCGAATGGGGGAGCTTACCATTGTTCCTGTACGGGCCGAAAGTTGGTCTCTTTTGTGTTGCCGAGAAGCCTAGCTTTGGCGAATTGGCTACGAACCGCATGGTCCTGGCCAATCTGCCAGGTCAACTGTGCATTTGTGTGTTAATTTAGTCCCCAGTCGATGGGTGAACCGATATAGATCATGACTTACCCCGTCACCAGCCTTTGTTGCCAGGTACCAATTTCCCCAGCTCGCGATCTCGCCTATCTCCGCGAACTCCTGCTGGGCCTGGCGAGCAAATCGGTGATAAACAACATCGCCCGATGTGGCACTATCCCATTCAACAACCTGGGTGGTGTCCCCACTGGCCCATTCTAACCATTGTGTTAGCCGCAACGATAACCCAACACAACCAAGATAACAAGGAAGAGGGGAACAAAGGAACGACTTACCGCCCGAAACATCCATATACACCTGGACACTGTGCTTCTTGCCATCTGATGACTTTGCCTTTGCAGAAATATACGAGAACTGCTGGGACTGGCGGGCCAAATCGTCTGCGTACACAGGCGACAGGAATGTGACAGTGAGGGTGACTTTTCCGGCAACATCAAATGTGAAAATGCTGCGTGTAGAGGTGTATTCGAGCGAGACCTGGTTGACGAGCGTAGTACCGGGTTCACCACCCATCCAGTTGTAGGACACGCCATCGACAGCCACAAGACCCTGCCAGCCGAGGGTGTTACCACTGTGCCCGTGTCAGTCCATGATTCAATGACAGAAAACAGGTTTTTTTTCCGTTCTGGGTGCAGTAGAAAACTTACCTCCAATGGCGCGGCCAAGTGCCGGGCAGGACTGGGTCGGAACCGCCCTGTAACCAGGAGTTGAGATATGGTGAGCGGACAGCCAAGGGAACTGCCGGGGGTCGCGTGGGTGTGAATGTTGAGGTCGCCGTCGTGAGGTTGACGGCCATAGCTGCCAGAGCAGCCAATGTGGCTAGGAACCGCATGGTTGGTGTGTGCAGTGGAGATCGCGGCGTAGCAATATGTGGTTAAGATTGGCGTGAGTAAGCTGTGGCTTGGAAGTCGAAAGGAGAGAGAAGGAAGGATTCGCGAGCCCCAAAACTTTATGGATGTGAGGAAGATGGGATGTAGTCAGCAAAGATTGCAAACTCGCATTGGAAGAGAGTCTCTAATAGGCAATGATCTTTAACGGTGATGTGATGGGTTGGAAGTTGCTTGTTCGAGAAAAGGGCGGTGGATAGGTCAAAAGGCCCAATTTGGGGGCGGGAGGAAGGGGCTTATGTAGATGACCAACGCCATTGTTGAAGAGTGGCACAATGCAGGCAGACATGCGATGGAACGAGCGAACTAGTGGGCATGTGGGTGAGTGGGCATGTGGGTAGGTAGGTACGAGCAAGACGGGACGAGGCGTGTGTGGGTGGTGACACTGCGGCAGCAGAGAAACAATGGGTGGGTAGAGGGGCAGAAAAATAACGGGTGAGACAAAGCAACAGGGCAACAGGGCAAGAGCGTGGATGGGCAGCCGAGCTGGAAGATCCAGGGCGGCGGCCGTCCAATGAGGACCCCCAGGGTCCTAGGAACTGTGCTGAAAAGAGAAGGCGATGATCTGCGCAGGGCGTGTATGTATGACCACGCCGGCAACACATTCTCGCAGCATAACGGTGGTATCTCGGGCAAAGGTTGCCGAGAAGCTTCACAAAAGGTCTCTCCGTGGTGATATAGGGTGGTCTTTGTTTCTCCTTCACTCGCCCCCTCATTCGGCAAGAACGGGACTATCCCTTGTGACTAGGTCCCTTCGGACGGCCTCGCGGACGGGGAAGAGGGAGTGTGACCGATGGTGGACGGAGGGGATGTGGTAAGAGAAAGGACAAGTATGGGGGGACAGGGTATGAAGAGGTTTGATGTTCCCATACCAAGGATCAGGGAAGCTACCCAAAGGGGTTCTCTTCTTCCCAGAGTACATGAAGGTGCATGGCCACGGGACCAGCTACCGCGGCGGAGGTTGACTAGTTTTCAACTGGAACGAGGGGATGGGGATACCTGGGGGTACTTGAAAGCATGATTCAGGCCACAGTCTAGATTTCCGACGGTGCTCTACACTTATGGAGCACTGATGGGAAATATGGCATGAAACGCGATATGGTCCTTATACCCTAGGAACTACCTAGAAGATAGTTAAATAAATAATCAGCATTTTACCCATTCTTCCTAGAACAGCTAGACTTTTAGTACGAGCAAGTTGTAATCTGAAAGATCCGAAGCCCTGGAGGTGCTTGATCAGGATGATGAGCCAGGGCCTTGCTCGGAAATGGGCACGGGAGCAGGAGCGGAGGAGGGCCCCGGAATGTGGGCCCGGGCGGGCGGCAGACCAGATCTCGAAAGCTCCCGGAAGATCTGGCCGTTGATTGGAGTGGGCCGGTCCCGGTACTCGGGCTGCCCGGAGACTCGCAGCTGGGGATGGCGCCACAAAGAACCTCGGTTGGGCTGGAACGATACACGTGTATACTCGAGTAGTGTACATCGAACGGAGCGAAAATGACAGAGACCACCGGTCAACACCAAACAGGAAAAGCCGACAACGCTTGTATCGATCGTTGTCAGCGGTTGAGGTGGACGAAAGGCCGTCTTGCTGTTTCGGCTTTAGAAGTTGGGGTTGGGCGCTGTCTGTGTGCTTCCTGTCTTGACTCTATTCAGCATCGCCGGGATCAAGATTTGGTGGCCGAGAAAAGGGACGAAAAGACCCCAAAAAGATGATTCGTTGGAGACTACAACTCGGAAAAAGAAAGCTCGTCAGCCAAGATGAAGATGGGGAGTCACTTGGCCATGAAGAAGAAGCACAGATGCACAGCTCGAAAAAAAGAGCAATGACGACCAGGAAACAGGGACAGGGATCGGCATCACCCCTGTGACCTGTGCGGTGAGTGACCAGCGCTAGTCCTTAATGAGAATAACGCCGCGAAGATCCATCACCTGCACAGACCAAGCATCCAGTCATCCCGATTTCCCCACAAACGACCTTTCCCTTCCTGTCCAACGACAGCCGCGCTCAACCACTCCTCCATCGGACATCACTTGGCATGCTTGGATCCGACGGCCAACACAGCATCACATCAGCACTCGAGCATATTTGAAAATCAGCGCATTAGCACCTCAGCAGATCAGCATTGGGGTAATGGGGAGCACCGAGTGCGTTCACCGCTCGAGAAATGATGCCGGCGGCCCCCCACTTTGTGGCCCGAGACGGTGTCACGTTTTCTCCGGCGGCCAAGTCGAGGTCCCGCCCAATGAAATGCACGAGTTGATGATTCTTCAGTCAAGACTCAAGACCATCAACTACTTTCATGGAGGAGCCCCACCACACGCCCGACAACAACACGCTCTAGGCGCCGCCCCAAAGCTTGTGTTGCACACCTGGGGAAAAGAAAGAAGTTGATGGTCTTGAGTCTTGACTGAAGAATCATCAA